TACGAGATGGGGTTCTTTAGATCGTTGAAGTACTATGCCAAAACCACGCTGGCAATCACCGTGCTATCAGGTTGTGCTGTTTACGGTGTGCTGTGCTCCATTGTGCTGTCGCTCATTGGGAAGCGTCATTTGGCTCAGTGGTCCACCGCTCGTGTGTTCTACTACACCTTCTCAACGCTGTTGGGGATTCGTATTCGACTCATCAATGGTGAGAACTTGGAGAAGTTGCCTGCTATCATTGTGGGGAACCATCAGTCCACGCTGGACATTTTGATCCTGGGCAGGATCTTCCCAAAGGGATGCACAGTGACTTCTAAGAAGTCGCTTAAATGGATCCCATTTTTGGGGTGGTTCATGACACTCAGTGGGACGTTCTTCCTGGACCGTTCTAACAGAGAGAAATCTGTAAAGACCTTGAACAAGGCCCTTCAGGAGCTGAAGGAGAAGAAGAGAGCGTTGTACATCTTCCCAGAGGGAACCAGATCCTATGCCCAAACGCCAATGCTCCTGCCCTTTAAGAAGGGTGCGTTCCATTTGGCTCAACAAGGTGGAATTCCAATCATCCCAATTGCTGTTTCAAACACCTCTTCCTTGATCAACCATAAGACGAGAACTTTTGAAACAGGTGAAATCGTCATCAAGGTGCTGGATCCATTGCCAACTGAGGACTTGAAGCCTGAAGATGTTGGTGCGTTCTCTGAAAAGGTTAGAGATGCAATGCTCAAAGAAGTTGACATTCTGGGCTACTCCATTCCTGATTCTCAACGCGATGTGGAATTGACTCAAGAGGACGATGAATACCAGACGATTCCAAACACTGACGATAACAATGAGACTGATGAGGCTGTAACCCCAAAAGTCGATGAAGAGAGAACTACATTGTTGAACAAAGCTTCAGACTCTCTCTGAGATACACACCGTCCTTCTCTCTGTCCGATGCCCCCCAAACACCCGCAAATATAAATAAGTACACCATATAATACTGCTTAATACTGTCGATACAAATATTAAATGATATTGCTTGTTTCTGAAAACTGTTTCCTTCAAGAATTAACGCTATAAATGTACAGATTTGTCATGAATTGAAAAGAAAGGAAAGAGCAGACGGAGTCAAAAAAAAGCTACTAAATCAATATTGCAAGTTACAAGCTAATCCCTTCTTTGACGCTTCTGGTGGTGTTTGAACCCGTTGAATCTCTTTCTCTTGAAGTTCTTGTTGTTGTTGTTGTTACCTCCAAAGTTTTCATTTTGGGCCTTCATCTCAACGTACGCAGGCTTGGACATAATCACTTCGAGCTCTTTACCGTTGAACTCAGGCTTTGGGTTCAACTCGACAAACTTCTTTGCATCCTCCAAGTCCGCAAACTCGGCAAACACACTCTGCTTGAACTCTTTGCTGTCGTTTCTTCTGAGTCTAACCTCGTTGATCTTACCAAACTGTCTGAACCAATCTTCAATTGTCTCCTGTGTGGTCTCGGTCTCCTCGCCAAATCCCTTTGCATAGACAGATCTTTGGAAGCGTAGCTGCTTCTCCGAGTCCTTTGGTGGTAGTATAGGGTTCTTGCGTCTAACCATCTCACCATCCTCCGACACAACGAGGAATGTCGACTCTCTAAGGGCATCCACAACTTTGTCCAGTGGTCTGAACTTCTTCATTCTGTTGAACGACGCAATCGTCGCAATTGAAACCCAGCCTTCTTGGTTCGACTGTACCGTGCGCCAGAGGAACTTGTCCTTTGGCAAGTTCGAGTCACTGAAGTAGAACTCAACCTGTTTCAAGACATCCTCCTGTGTAAACTTGGCTGGCTCATCGCTCTCCTTCTTATCAGAGGTGCTCTCCTCAACGGTCTTTTCCGCAGCAGGGGCCTCAGATGGTTTAGCAGCATCTGCAACAGTCTCAACTGGCTTCTCTTCAACAACTTTGGTAACTTCTTCACTCATTTTTTCAGATAATTTCCACAGCCTTTAAAAGTTGATAAAGCTGTGGTTTATTGAGGAAAAAAAATCCGTCGAGGGACGAAAGAAAAAAAAAAAAATTCAGCGATGACATGGTACGGGCCACACATAGAGATGTCCGGGTGTTTTGGCCATCGCAGTGGTGTCCGGATGTGTTTACACCATGGGAGACCGGTATGGTAGCGCAGTATGGAAGCATCTATGGGGTGAATAACGGTGGGATTTGGCATGTGAGTGTGCCTATGAGCTGGCATTGCTCCACAGGAGATGGCCAGCGTCGGTGGCAAGCACAATATCGTGCGTTTGTTGCAAGAAAACCGGTGGAATACAGCTCCATTGGCAATACACGGGCTTATTCTGATGATGACGATGGTGCTTGAGGGTCATTCCACTCTCAAACTCAACACCCAGACTCGTAGTGACGATGGCCGTGCCGAACTGGTGTCTGAGCCGTTGTAGGATCTTCGCGAGAGCGGTGTACTCCTCCTCGAGGGTTCCATCAACGAGCAGGTCCCAATGGAACACGGAGAGGTCATCGAGGACGAGTAGCTTCAAGGGGAGGTCCATGCGATCCAGCTTGTACTCCAGCATATCCATTAGACACCGCAGTAGCTGCGTGAAGCTCTCTATATCTGTTCTGACGGTGATTTCCGTACCAAAATGCCCACCCAGCTGGCTCTCCAGATGGCGTGACGATAGCCCAAGGTCCACCACTACAGTCTGTCCGTTCGCCTCTCTTAGAGATTCAATACACGTCCTGATGACACCAGCCCGTTGCCCATGATCGCCACATACAACGTGTAAGTGTCCAGATCCTTCAATTACACCAGGCAACGCGACAAAGCGTTCTACCGGGCTGATGAACCGTTGAAGCCGTTAGTCTCAACCTCTCCAAGCACCTTAAAACTAGCACGACTCACTTGTCGAAGCGTAGTAAACTCGAGTGAATTGACCAGCTCCATTGTTCCACAGCTGCTGTTCAACACACCCTCACCAAGCACCCTCACCAAGCAGCAGCACGAGCCAACTGTGAGCGTGTCTTCATTGCTTTAAACACCGATGATGGGAGAACATTGTCGGAAAAAAGTGCGAGCGAAACGGCATCGAAGCTGGCTTTTCCTCCATCACCATGAACAACCCATAATTATAGGCGGTAAACGATAAGCAACGGCAATGGCACAGAGGAATCGTTCACAAGGACACGGCCCAGCTCTCACACAGCGAGAGCGTAAGCTGAGAAAGGCGTCACGGGCTGAAGATGCTGTTCCAGAGGAGCCAGAAGGACACGTTGAGCCGAAGCCAGCAGATGCTGCCTCTTCACAGGCAGAGCTCTTCCCCCAGGAGAGGCTCCTCATCTGGTTATCAGGCTTTGTGAAGAACCACTTCACCACTGACAAGTTCATCCAGCTGTCTGTGCTGGCGTTTTCGGCCCAGCAAGCGTATCTGTACCACGATGACTCGTACCAGTCCGCTGAGGACGTGAACCTGTTGATATCAACGGCATGTGGCGTCGTTGCTCTGCTTGCCGGCGTGGTCATTGCCTTCCGGGTGAAGTCTCAGATGAACAGAGCCACAGATCCTTGGGACTCCATGCCTCCATGGAACACGGTCTACCTGGTGTTTCTGCCCTTGATGATCCCCTACGTGTTGAAGAGAGAGCTGATGCTGTACAACTCAGCCTTCATGACGTCGGTTCTGGAGCTGCCAGCCTTTGCCAAGTTCGTCATCCAGTGCTCTCTGATAGGCTCAAACACCCAGCATCCTGATGTGATGGCGAACGCAAAGGTTGTGGCTTTGAACCTGGCGGCTCATTACATTCTGGGCAGAATCTCGGAGTTCAGGTCGCTGGACAAGATTGAAGTCACGCTCTTTGCCACACTGATCACTGATCTATTCCTTATTGAGTCAGAGGAGCTGTACGTGATTGTCCTACAGAGACTGTTCATCGCCTATGCGTTGGGTCTGGGCTCAGTGTACGGAGTCGTCCAACTGTGGAAGGAGAACACTCTGGCGAGAAGCGTGCTCGTGCTGGCTGTATGGGGAACAGTGTTTGTAGCCTCGTCGCTACTTCTTCTTGAGCCCGTGTTCAACGCCAATGCACTATACTGGCTTGTGGATTACATTCAGATGTCCCAGACCAGGTGCTACATTGTTGGTGTCTGGAGCACTTCGTTGTTGCTGCTGATTCCAACGGTGTTCAACTACAAGATCAAGCTGTCTCAGAACTCACGTCGCAAGATCTGGCACTTCCTTGTTCTGGTGTTGATTGCACCATTTTTACACATGGATCCTGATTTTGTCAAGCTGGCCCTCGCTGGTACCGTTATCCTCTTTTTGATTGTTGAGATGGTTAGATACTTGAAGCTGAAGCCGTTTGGCGAAGTGCTGGACTCTCATTTGAGAGAATTTGCCGATTTCAGAGATGAGAGGGGCCCCATCATCATCTCTTACATATACCTGTTCGTGGGCATCACGTTGCCAATTCTGTTCGACAATAGCGTTGTGGGATTGGTTGTTCTTGGAGTTGGTGACTCGCTGGCATCCATAGTGGGCTCCAAATGGGGTGAGATTCATTGGTCGAACTCGTCAAAGACGCTGGAAGGCACCGTGACCTTTATCCTGTCGACATTCACGATTTGCTCACTGTTCAAGTTCCTTGACTGGTTCTTCATCGACAAGTCGTACTACGCATTGTTGCTGACGTGCACTCTAAGCGGACTACTGGAGGGCAACAGCGACATGAACGATAACATCATGATTCCAGGGTTCATGGTTGTCACGTTGGAATCTTTGAACTGAGTACAGTCACCACTTTCCTCATATCATATCCAACATATCATTACGTTTAAACAGGTGCAAGAAACCACAACTAGAGCTTATAGATGTATGTAAGAAACAATGTATATATCAGGACGTTGACGTCGACACAATGGCCTCTGGAGTGTGCGCAGCCTGTGTGAGAGTTGGCGTTCTCGTAAGCCTCTCACTGGCAGCGTACCAGCCCCCGTTGGCACTTGGATCAGGAGCATGAGAGGCCCAGTTGACGCCAGAGCTGATGGTATAGCTCCAGCCTGGTGTTATCGTCGTCACCTGTGCCAAACTTGATGAGAAGGACGTGAAGTACGAAACCTCTGAAGTTGGGAAGCGACGCGTCCAGGAGCTCTTATCCATGGTGATCTTGGTTGGAGGCTGTGTCTGCATTGGGGCATATCTGGTTCTGCCCGTCTGCGACGGATAAGGCACACTGAACGACTTAGAGTCGATGGACACCATCGTGTTATCACCATTCGCCAGCGACGTCTGTGCGTCTGGTGGCTTGGTCACTGCACCAACAGTAGGCTCGTACGAGCCCGTCATGCCTTCCAGCAAGAATCTGTTACTGTAGTGGATGGTCCAGCCGTTAGTCGCAGTCGCGTAGATCTGGATGTAATAGTACCCATCTTGGCCAACATCGGAGTCGATGGACAGGTCATAGGTGTAGCCAGAGATGTCCGACGCCTTGATCTGCTTAGCCAACGTCTTCACAGCCTTGATGTTTGCGTTGGGACCTGTGCACAGCACAAACGTGTACGACTCGATGTCCGTGAGCTTTGGTTGCGCGTTGGACTCGATCCACGTCACCGACACCTTGGCGACACCGTCGCTCACCTCGTACGTCTGCCCTGTCAATGGCTTCGAGATGGACACGTCACCGTGGGCCAGGCGCACACAGAGCGTGAGCAGCAGCAGCAGCGCCAGTCTCGCTGGAGCCCTGAACGATGCTGTCATCATAGCTTGCGAGTTTTGTCGTCTGAGTGCTGGCTTGTACGGGGCTTTGTTGCTATGACGTATAACGGTTAAAGGGTCAGAATCTTGCAGTGCTTGTACGGGGTCAAATTTCGCTTGGAAACACACACAGCCTAACAACCACACGATATGACCGTTGCTTAGAACTCTGCGGAAAATGGGACGGAATACACAAGCGGAGGGAGAAAATGTTCACACACACACCAGCACAGCTTATAAACACAGCTTTGGCGTAAATTGAGAGCTTAAAGGTGAATTTTTTCCTCTCTTGTTTATGTCCTGGAGGAGCCGACGGAGGTTTGTGAGGTGAGTGCTCTTTCGCCCAATGTGCACAACGTTGCATTTGCGCTGCCCGATTGGGCAGTTTGTGTGGCGCAGTGCGTCGGTTGGGGCACGTAGTAATGTCCTTGCGCGTCTCTGGCTGTGGAACGATGCTCGGTTTAGCAGGTGAGTGAATTGGGGAGTTTTACGTGTTGAAGCCTGCCATTTGGGAGAGGAGTTGGTGGATGGCGTATTTTGGTGTCGTGAGGTGCGGTGCCATGCTGGTGCTGTTGTTGTTGGAGCTGCTGGAGCTATTGTTGTTGGAGCTGCTGGAGCTATTGATGTTGGAGCTGCTGATGCTGATGCTGCTGTACTGAGTGGCTCTGGGGCTCGCTGGGCTTGTAGTGTCAACACCACGCCGGGCCTACTCGTGTGTCCTTCTGCTATACCACACACACATCAATCAAAGCACTCTGTCGTCTCCCTCTGAAGAACTCGCCCTGCCTGGTGGTCCATGGGCGAAGGATGTCTCCACGTTCTGGCCCATGTCCTCCTCTTCAGCCACTGTCTTCTAAATTTAGACTGCACATTACACCCAGACACCACTTGCTTCGGCGTTATTGCCGGATTGGGCCTTCCACGGGGTTGGGATACACAGCTTTGTTAGACATATAAAGAGAGAGAACGCTCAACACCTTCAAAGTTGGTTTGCTTCTTTGCTGAGGTGCTACGTCTATGTTGCTTCCCCTTTGGCGTTTAGTTTCTCCACATTGCACATCATATCAATTGGCTATAGAATGTCAGTAAATGTAACTTCTCAGAGCTCCTTCAATGCAAACCATTCACTCTACGATAGAGTCAGACCAGAGTTCGATAAGGCGTTCGTAAGCAAGTTCATCGATTCAGTGGGTATATCCAAGGAGAGCAAGGTGTTGGAATTGGCTGCAGGCACAGGCAAATTCACAAAGCAACTGTTGAGCAATGGGGTTTCAAGGGACCAGCTGATCATAGTGGAACCAAGTGAGGGAATGTTGCAAAGCTTTGAGAGCAACATCCCCGGCTTGGAGACACATTTGGGCTCAAGTTACGAAATCCCCTTGAAGGACTCCTCTGTTGACTGTGTCATTGTAGCCCAGGGGTTCCACTGGTTCAGCGACTCGCAGAGCTTGGAGGAGATCTCGAGAGTTCTAAAGCCAAATGGTAAACTTGGTCTCATTTGGAACTTTGACACCATAAAGAATAACAAGAACAATCCGCAATTGGATATCAAAGATGCAGATTTGCAGGATATGACAACCTGGCAAACAATTGCATTCGAAGCGTATAAATACGACTCTAATGTGCCACAGTATAGACATGGAAATTGGTCTAAAGTGTTTGAATCAACGGATTTATTCGACAAAACCAAGATTGATTCGCAATTCCGTTATTCCATTTATCCATTCCCGAAAGATCAAGTTTATAACTATTGGTTATCCAGATCTTACATCACTTCTTTACCAAATGATGAGAAGGATAAGCTCCATGCAACTGTGAAATCATTGTTGGATGAAGCACCTGAGAGCTCTTTTTTCGATGACCATACTGTCAAGCAATTCCTGGGCTGTCATTTCTTTGTGATTGAAAAGAAGGCCAATTAATGATTATCTGCCATTATATCGCGTATGAAATCCCACGCACTGAATTTGATCTGTTCTGTAGACTCCATCATGGGCATTCCTTTGAAGAACCTCAGTCTTCCGTCTGCTCCCATCACTATGTATTGACATTTAAACCTGTATAGCTTGAGCTTATGGAACTCTAACGTTGTCAGCGTTTCCAAATGGCTCAACAAAGTCTTGAACAATGCATCATTGGTGTCATCCTCTTGAACAAATTTCAGCAGGTCCTTATTCAGCACTTGAACTGAGATTGTGTTTAACATCCCCTGTGTCAAATGTGATGTGGAGAATGTCAACTCAACATCGCCGAGTTTCGACTTATCATCCAGGTTTGTAGCGATGGATGTCAAACATCGTATGAGAAACGAGGATTCGAATCTCACGGGTTTCCAGACATACCCGAACTCGTTCGATACCCAGTGTGTCATCAAATTGTCCAACTTGTTGAAGCTTCTCGCTATCACTAAAGATTGTGTCTTTCCACCAGTGGCGCTGATGATTGTATAGCTCTGTCTCTTAAAGACGTCATTGGGAAACTCCAGAGTAATGGAGACAATCGTATATTCCTCCTCCTTGATGATCTTTGCGCCCTTATCAATGGTCACGGTAGTGTAATCTCGTAGTTGTTCCGGTGTAAGATCCATCAACGCGCTAGACGCGATGAGGTCTTCATCCAGATCCATGAGCAGTGCAACAACTATGACCTTGAGCCCTGTGATCGTGGTGGGCGAGTTCCACACATCTGGATCAGTGGCGGAGGAGTGAAACAGTCTCAGCGGTGCTAATGGGATACTCATCGTCCTTGGTATAGTATCCCTTGTATAATATGAGAGGAAGAGGAAGAAGAAGCAGAGAAGGAAGTACTAATCTGTTTGTTTACATTTCGGAGCTGGGGATTACCCTACCGATGGAAACCCACACCACACTGGCAGCTCCATATATCACCGTCATATATAGCACGAATAGCCGAGTATGACGGTCCACAGGCCATTGGGAGTATCCACGAAGCTCTGCACTCATAGGCGTGGTTTCTACGTCTTCCCCGTGTTATTTCTTCCATTTTTGTTCTCCCTGTAGACGGGCCTCTCTAGGCAGGCCCCTCCTTCTAGGCCCCTCCTTCTAGGCTGGCCCTTTCTATGCTGGCCCCTCCTTCTAGGCAGGCCCCTCCCCAGCCCAGAAGAGCCTCTCCGGGCGGAGCGCGTCCCACAAGATCAAAAAGCCCAGTGAAGAGCACCGTACACACCCACAACTCACGCACAACGGACAAAAGCTCGAGCACAAGCCCACGCACACGCACACACACACAGGGACAAGACGCTAAGAGTTGACGAGTGAGAGTAGCAAGCGTATAAAAGAGCAATGAGTGACTTTTGGGAAAACAACAAGGACTCCATCAAGAAGGGAAGCTTGAGTGCGATGAAGACCACTGGTAAATACACCTGGGCTGGTACTAAAGCACTGTCGAAGGCCGGCTATAACGCAGCGAAGAACTCTGGTGATAACGGTGGCTCCAGCAAGAGCGGTGGTGATGGTGAAAGCGGTGGCGATGGTGAAGATGGCGACGGCTCTGGCTATGTCGGGAGCACAAGAAGCCTGAACAGTCTTGGTGATGTTGAAAGGTTCCCACCGCCTCCGCTGAAGCCAGGACAGAAGCAGTACCACAGCGAGAAGCACGCACATGCTGGTACACCAACTGGGGTTTATGAGCAGGGTGCTGTTGTTCCACAGGCTGGTGCTGGTCAGAGTGGGATGCCGACACCAGGGGCCCAGTCTGTGCAGTATCAACAGCCAGTGGGTCAATCGGCTCAGCCTGTGCAGTATCAACAGCCTGTGCAGTATCAACAGCCTGTTCAATATCAACAGGCGGCGGGACAACCCGTTCAGTATCAACAGCCAGTGGGACAACCTCTTCAGACTGCTCAGCCTGTGCCATACCAACAACCAATTGTACAGCCGGTGCAAAATGTTCAAGCTGCTCAGTATCAACAACCAGTATCTGCTCAAGCACAAGCACCACAGCTACAGCAAAGGGCTGTTCCACCTCCACCTCCAAGAAATGGAAGTGTTACTGCTCAACAGGTGCCTGTGCAACAAGTTCCAGGCCAGACCATCACCGTGCCTCCAACACAGGTTACCGTGGGTTCAACAACGCTGAACTTGCCTTCTTACAATGTTGATAAACAAAAGGCCATGAATCTCTCTGGGCAACTGATGTCCCAAGTATTGCAGTCACAGCAGACCAATGGTCAAAATGTCCAAGTCGAGCAGCAACAAGGTCAGCAACAAGGTCAGCAACCTCAGATACAGGTGCAAGGACAGCAGTTTCAACTACCTAGTGCACAGGCATTGAATCAATTTGCTCAAGTAGCATCCAATGTTCAGATTCAACAGCAACCACAGCCACAACAGCAACCGCAGGGACAAGATAATCAACAGAGTGTTCAGCAATCCAGTGGATCAACACAGTTTGGAGTTCCGAATGCTCAGTTGATTGGTCAAATCGCTCAAGTGGCCTCCAGTATTAACGTGCAACAGCAGCAACAGCAGCAACAGCAGTCACAACCGGTACAGCAACCAGTACAGCAACCAGTACAGCAACCAGTACAGCAACCAGTACAACAACCAGTACAACAGCAGCCAATCCAAGAGGTTCAACAATCTGCTGTCTTTGATTACAGTACTTCTTACTATCAAGGTGCAACTTCTGGTCCTCCTGGTCAACAAGCTGTAATGGAGGAGTCTATTCAACAAGAAACTGTTTATCAACAACCGCAACCAATTCTACAACAGTTCCAGCCTCCTCAACCACAGCTTGGTCAACAGCCTGCTAATACAGCACCATCACCTCCTCCAGTGGCCACGAGGGATTACAATAGAGCTGCCGTTCAACCTCCTGCTTCACTATCAACGCAGCAGCAACAGACAATTCAACCTCAACAAACATCATACTTTCCCCCTCAACAAACTCCAATTCAAGAGGTTTCCACTCCTATGACACCAAGTGCACCTGTTGCACCAAGTTTAGCATCACCATTGCATACTCCCTCAACCCCTGCTATCACTACAAATATACCAAATTATCCTGCTCCACCTAAGAGGGTCGATATTCCAAGTGGTGGTGGTACAGTTGTTGGAACTACTTCTGGGCCAGTCAATGAAGAGTCCAGTGAGACTACAAAGGCAGCTGAACCTGTAGAGGAACCCGTTTCCAAAGGAATTGCCGGTACCTATGACTACAAGATTGATGTCAAATTTGCACCACCGCCACCACCATCTATAAATCGAGGCGAAGCTGCTAGTAGACCATCATATTCTTCGTCTCACTCAAAGACTTCTGTGCATTCCAGCTCGAGGCCATTACCAACACGCATCACATCAAGTTCACCCACCATTTCAACAACCTCTTCTCCTGGAAGCTCGCTATCACCAGACAACTCTGGTCGTCAGCTACCACCACCTCCCCCAGCCAGAACAACATCGCAAGCAACCACACCAGTCACAAATTTCTTGCCACCTCCTAGACCAACAAACCCATTGACCCACCAGGTGAATGAGATCCATCATCATCAGCAGCAGCAGCATGGTCAATACACTTTACATCAAACAGAGCCAATTGCGGCCCCATCTTACACTGAAGCTACAAATGAACTCGAACAGTTGCCTTTACAGCAGCAGCACATCACAACTTCTTCGTTTGCACCACCACCAAAACCATTTAGAAGGTCTCAATCTCCAATGGAGTCTCCAGCTGTTGTGGAAGCTCCAGTTGAATTATCTCAACCAGTGGAACAGGTGACAGAACAGGTGATAGAGCAGGTGACAGAACCAGCACAGCACTACGAAGAGCCAGAATTAGACGTCTCTGAAGTGTCCATCTCTGGCGAAGCTGCAGTTGAAGAAGCTAAACCAAGACTCAAACCAAACGTTCCATCTAAGCCAGTGTTTGACGTGACCTCTGAACTTGCCAACGTCAAGTTAAAACACGTTGGTGGTAAGCCTAAACCACCTATTCCGTCTGGTTCGAAACTTATTGTTCCAGCTAAGAAACCAGAGGTGGCAGCAAAGCCAGTGGCATCTTTGAACAAGCCAAAACCAGTGGTTCCCTCGCATAAGCCGGTGACTCTGCCTGTGATAAAGCCACACGAGGTAAAGAAGACCCCACCACCACCAGTCAAGCCCAAACCAGATGCACTCAAGAAGGCACCACCACCTGTTAAACCAAAACCTATAGCCTTGGAGTCGCGTCCTACCACTGATAGCATTACAAAGAACACGTCCTTCAACTCGGGCGTTGATGCTAGTTCTCAACAGGATGACGATAACCCATTTACAAGGTACCTGAAGGCTGCTGTTCCACAGGAGAAGGACAGGTTCCATAGAAGATGAAGAGTGCTTTCCGGGAGGTTGGGTATATTGAGCCACCATCCAGGTCCCAAACATCTATATGGCCTTTTGTCGCTTTCTTAGAACACTTGTTCCAGGGCCAGAACCAATGTCGTGTGCTTACATGTTGGCTGAGTGGATGTGAACTGCACCACTACACGCCTAGTTGAGGTTACATGACGCGTCGCACTAAATGGCTGTTGGGTATCTCCAGTGAGTTCTAATTATAGATAGCTGATTGAGAGCTCTTTGAGTGGACCATGAAAGCTCGATTGTAAGTCACCAAGATGGTGTAGGGCTGTGAGACTCTCATTAGGAGCTGGAGAACACGGTCTTGGAGCAGAGCTTCTGGCATTATACACGTTTTGGCTTCAATCTTCATATATATAGCCATTCTATGATCAACCTCCTACATATGTCGACAGTCGAGTGAGTAGAACAGGTGCCAACATTGGTAAAAGTGGTAAGGTATTGTATTGATAATGAGGAAAAAAACACTCACACGGAGAGATCCGTTTACTTGGACAAGAGAGCAACAAACTGCTCGATATTAATCTGTCCGGTACCGTCAGAGATCTCGTTCAGCATCAGATCAACCTCCTTGTCGTCCAGCTTCTCGCCGATACTCGTCAACACGTGCTTGAGCTCCGCAGCTGAGATGACACCGTCGCCGTTCTTGTCAAACACCTTGAAGGCCTCCGCCAGCTCCTGGGCAGAGTCATTTGTCTTGAGCTGTCTCGACATGAGCGCCAGGAACTCCGAGAACTCAATCTTGTGGTCACCATTGACGTCGATCTCGTTCATCATATCAGCAACCTCCGACTCAGACGGTGTGAACCCCAAGGAGCGCATCACCGTGGAGAGCTCCTGTCCAGAGATGTGTCCATCCTGATCCTTGTCAAAGAGCGTAAACGCCTCTCTGAACTCCTCAATCTGATTGTCTGTAAGCTCTAACGACTGCCTGTGTGTTAGTAAACCGCGTCGCACACGCTAACATCATCAAGATGGTGCCCATTGTAGTGTTCCCGCCTGGTGCCATGGTGTGTGGCAAAACAAAGGTAAACAAACAACAACACAGGGATCCAAAGGTCGTGTGGTACAGCCATGGCCGCGTCTTCGGCTTCCTCAGCAATCACACGCCGTGGACAGGAGCACTAGGCAGCACAGCGCTCGGATCAGCTTCACTCACCATGATTAATCACACAATTGGGCTTTGGCTTGAATATGTTGGAGCCTGTTGAAAATGCTGTTGTGTTTCGCAGCTTTTGGTGATGGAGAGGGCCAGCAGGGAAAAGTGTGCGCAATCCTTTCCGAGAAGCCGTGACGTTGGGCTGTGGAGGTAGGGTAATGGGGGACACCCGGACACCACAACACCTGGACACCACACACCCGGACATTAGTGAAAACATACACCCGCACACCGAAACACCCGCACACACATCAACATGGCACCCAACTTAGTGGGGGTTAGGCACATATCGCACACACGCTTCAAAGAACACAGCGCAATAGATCACTCTCTTGCTCAATTGAACCCCAGATGGCTTCATTCGTCACGGAATTCTTCAATTGGTTGAACTACCCGCAATGGGTGTACTGGCTAATCGGGATCTACCTTCTATTGCCGACGATTTACCTCATCGTGCCCTTCATCTATGGGAAGAGATCTCAGCACCCAAGAGTGGTTATATGTGTTCTCGGTGATCTGGGCCACTCGCCAAGGATGTGCTACCATGCTAGAAGCTTCAGTGCTAAGGGATATGACGTTGATCTGTGTGGGTACTTGGAGGAGCTGCCACCTGCTGATATCATGGACGATGAAGACATCACGATCCATGCGATTCCAACGGTGAAGAACACCGGTGGGAACTATCTTGTGTTCATCGTACGCAAGGTGGCTAAACAGCTCTTTGCCCTGGCTTTGCTACTGTGGGAACTACGGGGTGCACAGTATATAATGGTCCAAACACCACCGGGGATCCCAATCTTGCTGTTAGCAGTGCTGTACAAGCTCTTGTTCGGGTCCAAGCTCATAATCGACTGGCATAACTTGGGTTATAGCATCCTGGCTCTGAGATTGGGTGACACTCATCTCCTCGTCAGGCTGAATAAGCTCTATGACCACGTTCTCGCCAGGTTTGCCGATATAAACTTGACTGTGACACAGAGGATGAAGCAGTTCCTGGTTGATGAGTTTGGCGTGAACAAGTCCAAGATCGTGGTGTTATACGATAAGGCTGCTTCCCAATTCAAGCCAATTGTGGACCCACAGGAGAAGCTCAAGGTCATATCAAGCCACGGGGAACTGTTCAAAAACTTCTCTCCTTCGAGCGACAAGATCATCGTGTCTTCCACCAGCTTTACCCCGGACGAGGACTTCAACGTTCTTGTTGAAGCATTGGTGAAGTACGACACCTTGCACGACGACAACTTGCCAAAGCTGAAAGTGATTATCACTGGTAAAGGTCCACTAAAGGAACAGTTCCTCAAGGCCATTGAGGCCGCTAATTTACAGAAAAGCGATGTTCAATGTGCATGGCTAGCAGCAGAGGAGTATCCAAAGATCTTAGCAATTGCAGACATAGGAATCTCATTGCACACCTCGAGCAGTGGGATAGACCTTCCTATGAAAGTGGTTGATATGTTTGGATGTGGAGTGCCTGTTCTTGCGCTAGAATTTGATGCTCTGCCCGAGCTTGTTGATGATGGCATCAATGGCATGAGAGTACTCGATGCTAGACAGATTGTGGAATCCTTCATCTATCTCTTCCTACAGCCGTCGAACTACGAAGTGATCAAGAAGGGAGCAATGGAGAAGAGCAAGCAACGGTGGGAAACCAACTGGAAAGCTCAATTTGGTGATTTGTTACATCCATGATCGGCTTGTGAATTGATTCGCCAACACATCTATATAGTCCGGGGTATTCTCGTCAATCATATTGTGACCTTTATCGTTCCAAAACTCGTACTCCTCCTCCTCTTCACTGTGGGTCTTCTGTAGCTGAGCCATCAGTGAGTCCGGTAGGATGTCAAACTCAGTAGAGGCCTGTAATGCCACGGAAGTAATATATGTCCAACATCGGGCCACCTGAGAGTGGTTGTATCCACCACCTCCAAGTAGCAATGACGGCAGCTCCAAGTCCAGCAGCTTCACAACGGCATTGGCGAGTCCCTTTATGGTGAGATTCCACTCCTGGTGTTCATCTGATCCCAGGCCATCGGCACCACATTGGATCACCAGGCACTGAGCCTGGAACTTGTGGATAACAGGGATGAAGCACTTGTCAACGACATCGTTGAGGCTCGAATCTCCCAGCCCGTGTCTCATTGGGGCATTGAACGTGTAGCCCTTGCCCCTGCCAATGCCCTGGTCGCCCAAATCGCCAGTTCCTGGATAGAAGCCAATGTCCTTCCTGTGGATGCTCATCGTCACCACGCTATCTGAGAACTTGAACGCACTCTCCACGCCATCACCGTGGTGTAAGTCCAGGTCGATGTAGACGATCCTCTGGAACCTCTTACGCAGCTCCAGGATCCCCAGAACCACGTCGTTGACGTAGCAAAAGCCAGCAGCCCTGGACTTCTTCGCATGGTGTCTGCCACCATGCCAATTGATCACGATCGACTCGTTGACGGAATGGACAAGGTGTTTGGCAGCTGAGATCGTGGAGCCTGCGACGTATCTCACGTACTGGTCCATCAGTGGAAACAGGGGGCAGTCAAAGAGCAGTCCAAACTTTTCAAGCGTGGTATGTGCTGGAAGCACATCACCATCATCATCACTACCCTCACCATCACCACCACTGCTCGACACCTCGTCCTCAGATAGACCCAGCCTCACCAGCTGCTCACGCCTACCCTCACCAGCACCATCACACCGTCGTCTCAGCACCTCATCGACAAACTCGTCCCCGTGGAACTGCCTCAATTGATCTCGCGAGGCAGGCTGTACCGTCACGGTACTGCTACACTGGCTCAGCAGCCCATACGACTCAATCATCGAGCTCACAAGAGAGCTCCGCTGAGCATTGGCAGGCAGCTCGTCCGACAACGCTGTCAGCACACCTGAGTGGACAATGGCGACTGGTCTCATGCCCTCCAGCAGCCCTTGCTCCTCATCACCACCTGGTGAAGATGTCTATGCATTTTCGGGTATATTTCCCGATGCGGACGGAGCCTCTTCGCCTAAGCACATACATAGCACACCATCGGGGATCGTTTATATAAACCAATGGGCTCTCTCCGCCTACGCTGCCAACTCCACCTCCTCAGCTCAGCAGAGAGAAGAAGCTATGTATGGCTCAGTGGCGTCGCAGGCTGGAACAACGGCCCAGAAGGCCCACCATCGGAGCCTTCGTGCCCTGGCTGCTGTGGCCGTGCTTATGCTGATGACATACCTCATCAGCTCCAAACAAGGGGACTCGTCGTTCCCAGCGTCGCCGTATCTGGACCACAAGGTGCTGAGGCCTTCGTCCAACAGGTCAATTGAGCTGTACCACTCGCTGGCGTTCCGTGATGCCTCCTTGGAACGCTTCCAGAGGGCGCTGCGGATCCCCACGGAGGTGTACGATACTTGTTCTGATCCTCGAGACGGCCTTCAGGGCTGGGAGCCATTTCTGGAGCTCCAGAGGTACTTTGAGGACGAGTATCCCCTCGTCCATGCTCAATTGGACATCCACAAGGTCAACGAGCTGGGATACGTTGTCATTTGGAACGGTACTGACGATGCCTTGGCCCCGTTGCTGTTGATGGCTCATCAGGATGTTATTCCTGTTGAGAAGGACACCTGGGACCAATGGACATATCCTCCCTTCAGTGCACACTTCGACGGCACCAGGGTGTGGGCCCGTGGAGCTGCTGATACGAAGAACCTGGTTGTTGCTCTGTTTGAAGTGTTTGAGCAGCTGCTGAAGGATGGGCTTGTTCCGCAGAGAACCATGATCATGAGCCTTGGGTACGACGAGGAGGCCATTGGCCGTGTCGATGGTGCCAATTCGCTCGTCAGCTTCATCTCTGGCCTGTACGGAGAGAAGAGCATGTACGCTGTGCTTGACGAAGGTGGCTCCGTGGTGGAGCTGGACGGAGTGCCGGTAGCTGCCGTTGGGGTCTGTGAGAAGGGCTATCTAGACATCAACATCGAGCTGGACACCACGGGAGGACACTCGTCCCGGCCTCCAGACCACACGGGGATCGGCATCATGAGCCAGCTCGTTGTCAGCCTCGAGGAGGAGCCCTTTGGGTCTAAATTGACCAGTGATAACCCGTTGTTGGACCTGCTACAAGTTGTCGGTGCAAGGAGTGAAGAGATCGACGACCTGACACGGGAGCTGTACCTGGGAGCAAAGCATTCACACGGCATCAGAAGTCAGCTCTCTGCCCGGCTGGCCAGTGATGAGAGCTTGAAGTGCCTCCAAAGAACGTCGCAGGCCGTTGATCTCATCCACTCCGGTGTCAAGATCAACTCATTGCCGGAGAAGACCACGCTGGGCATAAACCACAGGATCTCCATGGAGCTGACGGCACAGGACTGTGTTGACCGTGTAATTGACCACGTTCTGAGAGTCTCTAGTGAGAACAACCTCGGTGTTGTGCTCAGCAACGGCACTGTGCTGAGCGAAGGAGACCATGGCTTGTTCAACGTCTCTGTTGTCCAGCCTCTGGACCCATCACCAGTCTCCAGAACACTCGATTCTCAGTGGAACGTCCTTGCTGGGAGCATCAGGCACACTTTCCAGGACGTTGTGGCCAACGCCAGTGGCGAGGTCTCCGTGGCACCGATGATAGTGGGAGGATATACCGATGCCTCACGGTATTGGCCATTGAGCGATAACGTCTATCGCTTCATCGGAGTATCAGGAGGTGCTGGCAACGCACACGCCATTGATGAGTATCTCGAGCTGGAATCGCACATCCAGACGGTGTGCTTCCTCTACGACTACATCCTGAACGTGGAAGAACACAGTGTATAGTATAGCTTCTAGCGTAATATATAGGGCAAAATGCCATCAACGTCTACTCGGACAGCACCTTCACCTCGTTGTCAATGAACTCCTTCTCAGAAGGCTCGCCCACAGGGACACCAAAGGCCAGCTGGGCAACAACGTTCCAGCTCTCTGGAACCTTGCCCTTGAGAGCCTCCTGCACCAATGGGTTGTAGTGTTGCAAGTGGCCTCCGAGACCCAATTCACCAATCAATGTCCAGGTGTTGATCTGAGCAGCACCGTTAGAGGTCGAGGCGAAGATTGGGAAGTAGTCCGCGTACGGTGGGAAGGCCTCCTGGATCTTCTTCAAGGCCGCACCATCGTCAAAGAAGATGATGGAGCCGTACGCCTCCTCCTTGATGGAGTTTGGTCTCTTCTTCTGAGCCTCTGCTGGGATGGCATCGGTCACTGACTGCCACACCTTGTCGTGCAATGCTCCAGTGAGAATCACAGCTCTCACGGTCTGGGAGTTGAACGAGGTTGGCGTGTGCTTCACCAGCTGCTGTACGATGTCCTGGACCTGCTGGAGCGTGACTCCTTCTGGCAGGGCCTTCTTGAGTTGGTACTGAGTTCTTCTCGAGGTGTACGACTTGAGGAAAGTAGAGATGGTAGACATTGTTGATAGGAGTAGTTTCTGTTTGCACGGGAAAGGGCTTACAACGAGCACACGGGAAACGTTTGGAAACACTGGCAGGACCTGGCCTTGTTTATATACATCGTCCGGGAAGGTGTGGCAGGCCTGACGGGCGTATTACAAATTGTCTGAGTAATCGCGGACTAAGCATCTCAGCATGCAGGTGTTCCTAACCTGGGTGCACAATTAGTAATTGGTGATACTTTAGCCCGTTTCCTGGTGATGGAGCGTGAGTCAGCGTGGCTGATTGGTGGATGGCTGACTTGTGGATTGATCACCGGGGGCTGTTGGCTGTGCTTGTGTGTCTCGTGTAGAAACAGAGAGAGTGAGAGAGTATACGATGAGCTATGGAACGCGCGCTGATCTCCGGGCTTCGGGGGGTTCAGCACGCGCTGAGGCCTGGAAAAACACGTTTCTGGCACATTTCTACAGTTCTCTGTGATGTAGTAGCCATTTCGAGACCAATTGAGCTGGCATGTGTGTGTAAAAGTGGTTGTAGGTGAAGCTTGGGCATCTTCTCAGGGGGTTAACTGTGGCTTTTTGGGTGGTAAGCACCCGGACACCAACATCTGGACACCTAAACACCCGGACACCAAGAAAAGCGCTGCTTATGTAAGCCGCCGCCGGCTCGGCAGCGCACGTTATAACATTATATAACATTATATAACACTACATAACATTATATAACAGAATACCATACAATGCTGCGTGATACGGTCCCCAGCGCATGTGCTAAATTAGGAAAGTGCATCCCCCGTCCCCCAATGATTGCTGAAAAACTTTTCATCGCATCGTCGAATGCCCCTCAGAGACGTCTCAAGGCTGCTCCGTCTCCATAGCTCCATTAGAACACTCCACTCGGTATCGAAACGGTCAATTGCAATGAGTGAAACACCAGTGCCAGACAACTTCACACACCCAACGATCAAGGACGGCTGGTTCCGTGAAATCAGTGATACCATGTGGCCCGGCCAGGCGATGACCCTCAGAGTCGACAAGGTGCTCCACCATGAGAAGTCCCTGTACCAGGATGTGCTGGTGTTCAAGTCCACGGACTACGGTAACGTGCTGGTCTTGGACAATGTTATCCAGGCCACGGAGAGAGACGAGTTCTCCTACCAGGAGATGATCACCCACTTGGCTGTCAACTCGCACCCGGACCCTAAGAGGGTGCTCGTCATTGGTGGTGGAGATGGTGGTGTGCTCAGAGAGATCGTCAAGCACGACACCGTCGAGGAGGCATGGCTGTGTGACATTGACGAGGCTGTCATCAGAGTGTCCAAGAAGTACTTGCCGGAGATGTCCAAGTCCTACGAGCACCCAAAGGTGAAGACCCACATTGGTGATGGGTTCAAGTTCCTCGGCGACTACAAGAACTACTTTGACGTTATCATCACTGACTCCTCTGATCCAGAAGGCCCAGCAGAGTCTCTCTTCAAGAAGTCCTACTTTGAGCTCTTGAGCGGTGCGTTGACTGAGAAGGGTGTCATCACCACCCAGGCCGAGTCCATGTGGTTGCACTTGCCAATCATCACCGAGCTGAAGAAGGACTGTCAGGAGGTGTTCCCAGTTGCCGAGTATGCCTTCACCACCATTCCAACCTATCCTTCCGGCCAGATCGGTTTCATGGTGTGCTCCAAGGACAAGAACGCCAACGTTAAGGTGCCATTGAGATCCGTCTCTGAAGACGAGGAGGATAGACTCTACAAGTACTACAACAAGCAGGTTCACGAGGCCTCCTTCGTTCTCCCTAACTGGGTCAAGAACGCCTTGAAGTAAAGATTACACCCGGTTCTTCCGCCTGCTTTGATCCTTCAAGCGTGACTGATTATATATAAATAACTAGTGTTTTCCTTCTTCTTTCACCACCAGTAGCCATCAGCCACACTCAATTGGCCTCCCACCGTCTTAATAACCAACCTCCACTGCCCACTTCCATACAATTTGCAGGCGATTGGCCTTTTATGTCCAGCGTTCTAACGGCTTTGCATCATTTTGGAGACACTCATGTACGGTGCGACTGCCTCGAGAAAGCTTAAAACCCCCAATTGAATAAAGTCCCACGGGGTGAGGAAAGAGAGAAAAAATGAAAAACTTCAACGTGGACTCGCCCATATCTTCGACCAACAAGTGCACTGGATCAGGATCAACATACCAATGTCTGCTCTACAGGCCATCAAGTTCGACCGGGAACTTCTCACACTGTCTGTTCTGGATCAATTGCTCCTACCTTATGCAACAAAGTATATTCCAATCTATACGATTGCAGATGCCTTTGACGTTATTAAGAGGATGCAAGTTAGAGGAGCACCAGCGATTGCCATTGTTGGCTCTCTTAGTGTTGTCATTGAGCTGAGTCATTTTGTGCAGGGGAAGTTTAGAGACCAAGGGTATTACGATCTGTTGAACGTCGATAACTTGAAGTTGCAGTTGATCAAGAGACTGGAGTACCTTGTCACGTCAAGACCTACAGCTGTTAATCTGGGCAACGCCATTTCTGAGATTACAGCACTTGTTACTGCTTCTCAGGCGACGGGTGTCGATGGTCTCTTCAAGGAGATCCTCCAGTTCGGGTGTGACCTTATCGACGATGACTATACCAATAACGTCAAGCTGGGAGAAAATGGTAAAAGTTGGATCTTGAGCAAGTTAGAGTCCGAAGGATTTGAAGGCGACTTTGGCGTCCTGACCATCTGTAACACGGGCTCGCTGGCCACCTCCGGGTACGGTACTGCCCTGGGTGTTATCAGATCTCTTTGGAACCACTCAAAGGGGGAGCGTTCAGACGAGGAGCCTAGTGGTAAGAGAGCTAAAAAGGCTTTGAAGTTTAGCCGTGCTTATCCCTTGGAGACAAGACCCTATAACCAAGGTGCAAGACTGACTGCGTATGAGTTGGTCTACGAAAAGATCCCAGCCACGTTGATTACGGACTCCATGGTTACGTATCTCATCTCCACTTTGAACAAGACAGAGTCTGCAGCTCCTATTAAGGCCTGTGTCGTTGGTGCCGATAGAATCGTCAAGAACGGTGACACTGCCAACAAGATAGGAACTTATCAACTGGCCCTTATCTGTAGACAATTTGGAATCAAATTCCTCGTGGTTGCACCAAAGACCACCATTGATTTGAACACCAAACATGGGGACGATATCGTCGTCGAACAGAGGCCATCTGTGGAGTTACAGAACGTCAGTGGGGGCGTTGTTGATCCAGACACCGGCGACGTTCTAAAGAACCATGAGGGAATCGCCATCACAGGGAAAGTGGGTGTTGCAGCACCAGGAATCGATGTGTGGAACCCATCGTTTGACATTACACCACACGATCTCATCGATGGTATAGTCACTGAGGATGGTGTTATGGAAAAGGTCAACGGCGAATTTGACCTGGGGAGACTCTTCAATTGACTGGCCCACTTCAAATAGACCTATAAATCTCTCTATTGGCCCATGATTGACACCTATTCATAGATATCTCTTTGATATGACAGTAGTATATATATATCGTTGGAACAGCACACATGTTATACTCGAGCACGTGATCTCTCACGTGATCGCTTATGTAATCATACAGTGCGTGGCTATACCGGCTTCTCTTTTCGGAGATTGTGGGCGCAATAAAACCAACGGGGAAAACTCTTACTGGCCACAAAAAGAGCTCTCACCAGCAGCAGGAGCAAAAAAAACCGGACACCCTGTAGGGAATTTCCCCTTTCCGCTCAAGGAACTTCACCCACCCCTTTTGAAATTGAAAGAGACCATCAACAACAACAACCAGAACAACGGTAAAGAACAGAAAACTACTCACAGCGTTTTCGTTTGCTATTGAGATTTGGTCAAATAACTACAAGGAGAACCCATTGCACTGTCTTACACCTTAACCGCCCCATTAGAAGGTGTCTTAGAACCGTGTTATCGTTGGAATCATACCTTGCCGCCCAGCCCAGAATTGTTTGTTTATTCCTTTGCCATTCACCGCTGTTACCAACGTCATTGCTCGAAGCAAGAGAGAGAAGCCTGTGTGTGTGTGCTTAGCTGTGCTCGTTGCCTATTAAGAGATCGTAATGAGTGACATTCCTATTGAGTTCACGGAGCTCACCGACCTGACGTCGTTGGGCATTAACCCACAGTCGTTGGAGTTCAGATCAACCACCCTTGAGTCCGATCACTATGTCACTGTGCGTGAGACCGTGAACGGTGCCAACACCGTGGCCATTGTGGACTTGAAGAACGGCAATACCGTTACCAGAAAGAACATGAGTGCTGATAATGCTATCTTGCACCCTTCCCAGTTCATCATTTCTCTTAGAGCTAACGGTACCACGCTTCAAATCTTCAACCTGTCCACAAAGGAGAAGCTGAAATCATTCAACATGGGTGAGCCAGTGATCTTTTGGAAATGGTTGAACGACGAGCAGCTCGGTTTGGTGACCTCTACTGCAGTTTATACTTGGAACATCTTTGACGGTAACGTGTCTTCAGGCCCAGTTTTGTTGACTCAAAGACACGCAAACTTGAACAATGCGCAAATCATCAACTTTGTCTGTAATGTCAACTTTGATTGGTTTGCCGTTGTCGGAATCACCCAAGAAGAAGGACGTATTGCTGGTAAGATCCAATTGTTCTCAAAACAGAGAAACGTCTCGCAAGCCATTGAAGGACACGTTGCTGGATTCAGTACCCTGCAATTGGATGGTGGTTCTTCACCAACACAGGTGTTCGTCTGTGGTAACAGAACTGCAACCGGAGGTCAATTGCACATCATTGAGATTGATCACGATGCAAACAACCCTCCATTCCACAAGAAGAACGTTGACATCTTCTTCCCACCTGATGCTTCAAACGATTTCCCAATCTCTGTCCAGATATCAAAGAAGTACGGTGTCGTTTATTTGCTCACAAAATACGGTTTCATCCACTTGTACGATTTGGAGAGTGGCTCAAATTTGTTTGTCAACAGAATCACCGCAACGCCTGTCTTTATTGCCTCTTCTTATGACAGCAACAATGGTATCTTGGCTATCAACAAGTCTGGTCAAGTTCTCGCTGTGGAGATCGCCAAGGATAAGCTTGTCCCATATATCTTGAACAAGTTGAGTAACGTCTCTTTGGCCTTGTCCATGGCTTCTAGAGGTGGATTGCCAGGTGCTGAGAATTTGTTCCTGCAGCAATTTGATAGCCTTCTCCAAAATGGTGATTATGCTAACGCCGCTAAGGTGGCAGCATCATCTGAACAGTTGAGAACTCCACAAACTATTCAAAAGTTGAAGAACATTCAAGCTGCTCCAGGTGCTATCTCTCCAATCTTGCAATACTTCTCTACACTTTTGGATAAGGGTAAATTGAACCAGTTCGAAACTATTGAGCTAGCCAAGCCGGTGCTACAACAAGACAGAAAACAATTGTTCGAGAAATGGTTGAAGGAGGATAAACTCACCTCATCCGAGGAATTGGGTGACATTGTCAAACCATTCGATGTTCAATTGGCATTGGCAATTTACTTGAGATCTGAAACACATGCTAAGGTCATTTCATGTTTGGCTGAGTTGGGTCAATTTGACAAGATTGTTCCTTATTGTGAGAAGGTTGGTTTCCAACCAAACTTCATCGTTTTGATCTCAAACTTGTTGAGAACCAACCCAGACAAGGCCTCTGAATTCGCCATTAGTCTGTTGAACTCCCCAGCAACCGCTGGTCAAGTTGACGTTGAGAAGATTGCTGATATTTTCTTCTCCCAAAACTACATCCAACAAGGTACCTCCTTTTTGCTTGATGCTTTGAAGGAAGACTCTCCAAACCAAGGTCACTTGCAAACTAGAGTCTTGGAGATTAACTTATTACATGCCCCACAAGTTGCCGATGCCATCTTGGGTAATGATATGTTCCATCACTATGATAGAGCCACAATTGCCCAATTGGCTGAAAAGGCTGGTTTGCCACAAAGAGCTTTGGAGAACTACTCTGACATCAAGGATATCAAGAGAGTCATTGTCAACGCTCCAACTGTTCCAGCTGACTGGTTGGTTGCTTATTTCGGTAAGTTGAACGTTGATCAGACCATGGTTGTTCTCAGAGAGCTCTTGGACAAGAACATTGCTCAGAACTTGCAAATTGTAATTCAAGTCGCTACTAAGTACTCTGACTTGCTTGGCTCTGCTGGCCTTATTAAGCTCTTTGAGGATTTCAAGTGTTACGAAGGTTTGTACTACTATTTGGCATCTATTGTCAACTTGACTGAGGACAAGGACGTTGTCTTTAAGTACATCCAATCTGCTGCTAAGCTTGGTCAATTCAAAGAGATTGAACGTATTGTCAAAGACAACAACGTATACGACCCTGAGAAAGTTAAGAACTTTTTGAAGGATGCTGAGCTACAAGATCAGCTGCCTTTGATTATTGTCTGCGACCGTTTCAACTACGTCCACGACTTGGTCTTGTACTTGTATAAGCATCAATTCTTCAAGTTTATTGAGGTTTACGTTCAGCAGGTTAACCCATCAAAAACCCCACAAGTGGTTGCGGCTTTGTTGGATGTTGACTGTGACGAAAGCGTTATTCAAAACTTGATCCAGTCTGTCATCGGCCAGGTTCCAATTGCTGAGTTGACTGCTGAAGTTGAAAAGAGAAACCGTTTGAAACTCTTGTTGCCATTCCTTGAGGCCACTTTGAACTCTGGTGTTCAAGACCAAGCTGTCTTCAACACACTGGCCAAGATTTACATCGACTCTAACAATAACCCTGAGAAGTTCTTGAAGGAGAATGACAACTATGATACTCTGGAAGTTGGTCACTACTGTGAAAAGAGAGATCCTTACTTGGCCTATATTGCCTATGAGAAGGGCCACAATGATGAGGAGTTGATCAGAATTACCAATGAAAACGCGATGTACAAATACCAAGCCAGATATTTGTTGCAAAGATCTGATCTCAACTTGTGGAACAGAGTTTTGACTTCTGACAACGTTCACAGAAGACAACTGGTTGACCAGGTTGTTGCCACTGCTGTACCAGAGGCTACTGATCCAGAACCAGTTTCTTTGACCGTTAAGGCATTCATGGATAACGATTTGACCACTGAGCTTGTTGAATTACTTGAAAAGATCATCTTGGAACCTTCCACTTTCAGTGAAAACCCGTCTTTGCAAGGTTTATTGATGGTTACTGCCATTAAGGTTGAGCCAACCAAGGTTATGTCTTACATTGAGAAGCTGAACGAATTTGACCCAGTTGAGATTGGTGCTCTATGTGTTGAAGCTCAATTATATGATGAAGCCTTTGAGATCTATGACAAGAACAAATTGCACTCCAAGGCACTTGCCGTGTTGGTTGAGGATGTTATGTCTTTGGATAGAGGTGAGTCATATGCTGAGAAGATTGACACACCAGAGTTGTGGAGTCAATTGGGTGCTGCCCAATTGAACGGTTTGAGAATCCCAGAAGCTATTGAGTCTTACATCAAGGCAAACGATCCATCCAACTATGAGTCGGTCATTGACATTGCTGATTCCGCTGGTAAATACGAAGAATTGGTCAAGTATCTGTTGGCTGCTAGACAAACATTGAAAGAGCCAAAGATTGATGGTGAGTTGATCATTTCGTACGCTGAATTGGGCAAGCTTGAAGAGATTGAAAAGTTTTTGAATGGTTCCAATGTTGCTGATTTGAACGAGATTGGTGATAAGCTCTATGATAAGAAGGACTACAAGGCTGCCAAATTGTTGTATGCCTCAGTGTCCAACTACTCAAAGTTGGCATCCACACTTGTTTATTTGGACGACTATCAATCCGCTGTTGACTGTGCCAGAAAGGCATCCAACGTTAAAGTGTGGAAGCAAGTTAATGATGCTTGCTTAGAGCACCAGGAGTTCCGCTTGGCACAGATCTGTGGTTTGAACTTGATTGTTCATGCTGAGGAGTTGGATGAGATGGTTGAGAAGTATGAGAGCTCTGGTCACTTTAACGAATTGATCTCTTTGTTCGAAGCCGGTTTAGGCTTGGAAAGAGCTCACATGGGTATGTTTACTGAGTTGGCGATCTTGTACACTAAGTACAACCCATCCAAGACCATGGAACACTTGAAGTTGTTCTGGTCCAGAATCAACATTCCAAAGGTTATCAGGGCTACGGAAAATGCACACCTCTGGCCAGAATTGATCTTCTTGTATGCACATTACGATGAATGGGATAACGCTGCCTTGACTATGATTGACAAAGCTGCCGCTGCGTTTGATCACTCTTCATTTAAGGACATCATTGTTAAAGTTGCCAACTTGGAGATCTACTACAAGGCTATCAACTTTTACGTTAACGAGCATCCATCTTTGATTACTGATTTGTTGTCTGTTTTAACTCCAAGATTGGATATTCCAAGAACAGTGAGAATCTTCCAAAAATCTGATAACTTGCCATTGATCAAACCATTCTTGATCTCTGTGTTGGAGAAGAACAACTCTGTTGTCAACTCTGCCTACCACGATTTGCTTATTGAGGAGGAAGACCATGAGACTTTAGGTGCAACTGTTGATGCACATGATAAGTTTGACTCCATTGATCTGGCTAGTAGATTGGAGAAGCATGACTTGATCTTCTTTAGACAAATTGCTGCTCGTTTGTATAGAAACAACAAGAAGTGGAACAAGGCCTTGTCTATTCTTAAAGCGGACCAATTGTGGAAGGATGCCATTGAGACCGCTGCTATTTCACAATCTACCGATGTATCTGAAGATTTGTTGTCATACTTTGTTGAGACTGGTAACAACGAGGCCTTTGTTGGATTGTTGTACACTGCTTATGATTTGATCCGTTATGACAAGGTTTTGGAATTGGCATGGTTACATGAGTTGGGCGACTACATTAAGCCATACCAAATTACTGTTGAGAGACAAAGAAGTGAGCAACTCTCCAAGTTGGTCAAGGATTTGAAAGCCAGAGAAGAAGCAGAGGCTAAGAACTCGGAGCAGCCAACACTTGGCACTGAAAGATTGATGATTACTAATGGTATTCAAGGATTGGGTTACCAACCTACTGGGCAAGGTTTTGGTAACGCATTCTAGATGAGTCGTTAGAAGCTGTGTGTGACTATTTTAGAAAAGCGAAAATGAAAGAAGAGAACGACGTTTGATTCGATGTCGACTGACTTGTACAAAATTTTGTGTTTCTGTTGACTATACAGGTTAGATTGAGTTGATAAAGATTTAAAAGTCTTGAGAAATATTTTGTATTTGAAAAGAAGTATAATATATGATTGCTTCAACTGAGCTAAGTCGTGGCATACTGTTGTAGTGTCACGTCTATGTGTTCCTCTTTGAGATTCACATCTATACACCAATTCTGGAGTTCCATTACAGCAGACTGTACTGTGATTTGTCGTACAAACTGCTGTGATGGAAGACAGAAACATCAACAATAGTTTTGGAACTATCGTGACTCTCAGGAGAATGAAATGCTGAGCACTGAGTTCATTCAACGGCCAGGATCGCCATCATGCTCGAGGAGGGTGTACTAATGCTGGTTCACCATCACATCAATGTTGATCTTGATCAGGGCGATAAATGCGAACTATCATGGAGGTGGAAAGGTGATATTCCTATATCAATCAGTGGCTAACATCTATTGTTTGATGCCTCCTTGCTTCCTACACATACAGTTGTGATCTGTTACTTTCATCGCACAACCGCGTGCTTATAGTAACGGGACAGCATCAGATTCCATGACTGGTGAAGTTTTTGGACTCGACGTATCTGTTGGGAACTTGGAAGATATTGCTTCTGGGTCTTAGCCTGGATTTATTATCCTACTGCTGGTAGATATGAATCTGGATCAGCTACTCAAGCACTTCGGGAGTTGGCGTCATAGTCAACCTCAAAATGTGGGCTTAATTCTACTTCTTTGTCACCAGACATTACACTAGTATCAACTGCAGATACAAGCACCATTACTGTGGAAAGCGTTGCAGTGATTACCATTGAAAGCTCTGAGGATGGGATGTCTTCCTGTCCAGTGTCTCATATCACCAGGAGGACATACACTGTGAAGATGGCTTGTGTCACCATCTTCTGTGAAGTTTGTGAAGTGGATGCTGCTATTATCACCAGGACCGTTAATCTTGAGGATGAATATTACGATGTGATAATCAGTGAGATAAAACCTATCGTTGCTACTCCTGTTGGTGCAGTTCACACTACTGGTGTTGTTGAGACTCACGATACTGGTACTAGGGCTGTTTTAACGCTGTGACTTATGGTAGTACAATTGATGGGCCATCTATGAATGCCGTCGTTCGTGAAAGCTCAATTCTGCTGTCAATGAGATTGTTAAACTACCAAGTACACAGCTTCTGAGAGTGCTGAGACTACAAAGGCCAGAGCTACTGTTCCTTTAGCCCTTCTTGTCGCTGTTGCACCAACTTTGAACCATTGAGGATCACGTTCCAAATATTGGTTTCCTGCTGGTAAGCTCACTCTTCTATTTATAAGAACTATACCGTGAGCTAAAACTTTCAAGTGTATTTGAATTGAAAAGACTCATACTGAGTTTAAAGAAACACTTTACTATCTAACAATCCACTGTGAGGCATTGAAGACCCCAGAAATGTACGCTAATTCTTGTCATCTCTTGGTTCCATGACTCTCTCTCACATATACAACATCGATTGTTGGTAAGATCTATTTGATTGTCCATATACACATGTTGAAGTGACTCTGTAGCCCATCATATAGAGAATTTGTAGTGTTTTAAACAGCTGCTATTCTCACTCCTATGACACATCTCCATCACTACCAAAGAAAAAGGTGGGCACTTTGGCCGAGTGGTTAAGGCGAAAGACTTGAATCTATTCGAGTGATCTTTTGGGATTTCCCGCGCAGGTTCGAACCCTGCAAGTGTCGATATTTTTTTTTCTGCCCGATGAAGCCGAAGCGGTTACCCGGTCGATAATAGCCTCCATCAGATGGTGTTTGGATGTTTACGACCCCATACCTAATTATCACCAGATATCAACACTATTTCCTCTAAAGAGAGCTACATCATACGCCTTGATAGACCCGTATGTAAAGTGCTGTATTTGGTAGTATAATGTGTTCTCCCTTCTTTGGTGGCTGGTTTCCCTGTTGCGCCACTACAATTTGAACTGTTGTGCAATCTTGATGCCAGTAGCGACGTTTTGAACCCTTGAATCAATCTTATAACCTTCTCTGTGCAACTGTTCAAGTTGTTCGCTAAGAGTTGCCATTGGCACAGTAAAGATCTCGATGAATTCGCCATCTTCCAGCTGTGGCACTGGATTCTTATTTCTCTCGTCTTCAAGGTCAATCTTCACAGTGATCAGGTTCAAATTGGTGTTACAGAAGCCGGGATCCGTGTAGATCACCATGCTCTTGGATAGCACCGTCCCATGGTAGCCGGTTTCCTCCTTCAGCTCTCTGATCGCAGTGGTTTCCACGGATTCGTTGGGATCAACCAACCCGGCAGGCATCTCGATACACACGCCGCACGTTGGTGGCCTGAACTGCTTCTCAAGGACGATTTCAGGGCCTTCTGGCTTGTCGATGATGGCCACTATTGCCACAGCATCAACCTCAGACCCCTCTGGTCTTGTAGTACGACTCGCACACTCCCAGAGACGAGCCTTGCCAGCTGGGTCCTGATACGTGATCTTCTCTAACTTGGTCCATTTGGCATCCTGCGTTGGCAGAGGTTCAATGCTAAGAATCTTTGCATTGCTTGGTGATCCTTTACTCGCTGGCATGCTCAAAAGACGCTTGGAAACCCTTTGAATTTGGCTCAGCTGTTGAGGCTTTAGTATCATTAGTTATATGTCAAGGTATAAGGAGCAAGCACAAAGCACTCAGCTGCGAAAAAATCACTTCCCCGAGAAAGTTGATCACACACGGACAAACAGACAAACAGACAAACAGACAAACAGACAAACAGACCAGAGAAATGGACCCAGAACAGCTCAAAGTGAAGATACAAACGAACCTCATCCAGTCAGGCGAGTACGATAGACTCTCGTCGCAGCTGAAGCTGAAACTGGCCGAGTCTGGATGGCTTGATGACGTGAGAAGAATGGCTAGTGGTTAGTACCAATATGCTCTAAGGATATGACGATACAATGCAACATGCCCTCGATTCCATGTACTAACGTTGCACGATCTATATAGAAGAGGTATCTTCGAGTAACACGACGAATTTCACAAAATTGAACCAGACATTAGAGCCAAAGGCACTGTGTGAGTCCCTTCAATGTTCACGGTTCTCGCAGCCTGACAGAGTCCAAACAAGCTTGATACTAATTATATGACAGCAATGGTACCTGAAAGCGTCAGAGAACAAACACTCCAGCAGATAAAAGAGTTCATAGAGAAGATCGTGGAAACTGAACAATGATAGTGTGCTAATTAGTGCTGTTGTACTACACGGTGACGAAAAATGATAGTTTCTCTTAATAAAACACAATTAATAAGAAAGTACACATAATAAAACAGTAGAAAGTTTCATAGAGAAAGAACATCAGTTGGATCGCAACGATGCTCCTCTTTTCATTCTCTCTTTTTCTCTTCTCTTTGACTCGTCAATCAAGTCTTCCTCTATCAGTCCCCCCACTACTAAATCGACTTTCTCCTCCTTCTTCAAACGCCATTGCTCTTCTTCTCGGGTTCGTCGTCGTCATCATAGTCCTCATCCTCTTCAATCTTTCTAACTTCAGGTTTCTCCACTGTCTCCTCAGCTCTTTCATTATCCTTTTTCCCTTCTTCAACTTTATCAGCTTCTGTAGCTTTCTCCTCTTGAAGACTACTCAAGGCCTCTTCACTTGGCTTGATACTGGGTTCAGCTTCCACTTCTGTCTTAGCTTCAGCTTCTGCCTTAGCTTCAACTTCCGCAGCTGGTTTTTCTTCGCTGTTTACGTCCCCATCGTCTGATTTGGATCCTGTAGTATCAGAAGGTTTTGTGCCATCCGCAAGGGTCTCAGCAGGAGCAGATATCTTAGCGTTCTCAGGTTCATGTTCAGGCTTCGTAACCTCTTGCTCTTCAACAGCTGACTCCTTAGGATCTGATGCATTGTTAGACTCCACAATTGGTGCAGTAGTATTAGCAGCGGAAGCATTAGAAGCGGATTCAGTACCATCAACCTTTTCGGAAGAGGCGTTGGCCTCCTGTGGTACAGGAGGGGTGGACACTTGTTCATCTACGGCATTAGTCGTAGTTGAAACGGCAGTAGTAGATTCTTGTTCTACTGGAGCAGTAGTCGTGGTTGCAGCAGTAGAAGTAACTGCTGAATTGGCATCGCCTGTAGCAGTGGTGTTAGGAACAATTGAAGGAACAGGTGCAGTAGTCTCAGCAGGTGTGGATGATTTTTCTTCAACTTGAACAGGGACATCAGGTACAGAAGTTTGAACTGGAGCCTGTTCAACAGGAACAGTTGGTGTGGTAATCTGTGGTGACGTCTGTTCAACAGATACAGCTGGAGGATGGGTTCTGGCAGGTTCCGAGACAACAACAGGTGTTTGGACAGGAACTGCAGCTGGAGAGGTAATAGGAGCTGCAGTGGAAGCAGCAATTGGAGCAGTTGGTGTAATTGCTGGAGCTGATGAATCGTTATGGACCAAAGCATGAACAGACTGAGACTGGCTAGCCGATGGCAACGGATTAGAAACAGGAGCTAACCTAGGAGGAACCTCTTGCTGCTCAATCTTTTTCTCATTTTCTACTTTATCATCTCTCAAAAAAGTCTTTTTCAACTTACGCTCGCCAACATCTGGGTTTTCCAATTCACGTTTACTTGGAGCCAACGACTTAACTTCATGTTGTGGCTGCTGCTGCTGAAGTGGTTGTGGTGGTTGTGGTGGTGGTTGGCTAATTGGAGCTGGTTGATATGGCTGTTGTTGAGGTGGTTGTAGCTGCAACTGTGGTTGATGTGGTGTAACTTGTTGCTGCTGTAAATGCTGCTGTTGTTGTTGCTGCTGCTGTTGTTGCTGTTGTTGCTGCTGCTGCTGTTGCTGCTGTTGCTGCTGCTGTTGCTGCTGTTGCTGCTGCTGTTGCTGCTGTTGCTGCTGCTGTTGCTGCTGTTGGAATAAGGGTGGCTGGGACTGCTGCTGCTGTTGACCAGCAATTTGTGGGTTCATCTGTAACTGTTGCAAATGAGGTTGCTGTTGCTGCTGTTGAGGTGGTTGACTCTGCTGGGAAAGCATCTGTTGTGGTAAACGAGGCTGTTGCGAAGGTGGTGGTGGTGGAAGTTGACCGTTAACACCACCCTCCTTTTGGAACTTCTGTAACTGCTCAAGACGAGCTTGAATGTGGGGATTACTTGGATCCAAAGTAGCAGCCTGTTTATATGCATCCAACGCATCTGTTATTTGGTTATTACAAGTCTCATAAAGAGTACCCAAGTCATACCAAACCTCAGAGATGTACGGATTCAATCTGATCGCACGAGTATAAGCATCAAGCGCATCTCTGTACTGGGAGATCTGGTAGTACAACACACCAATGGAGCACCAGAAAGTTGGGTTTCTAGCATCTCTGTTAACAGCTTGCTGGAATGCATCGTACGCCGAGGTATAATCACCTCTGGACATGTGAACCCTACCCAAATGGTACCAGGTGTGAGCATCGCTGGAGTCAATCTCCAAGGACTGTGTCAACAGTCTCAACGCAACCTCTGGATCTTGGAAACTCGAACCCTGTTGTGAGTACAGGCATCCCAACTGTTGCAACACTTTAGCGTGTTTAGGATTGGACTGTAGCACCTTTTGATATGCATCCTTGGCACCGTTGTAGTCCCTCTGCTGTTCCAAAACAGCTCCAATCTGGAACCACACGTCAGGCTGTGTTAGCGGAGCAGGAGGGTTTGGCAAGATGTATCTGAAGCATTCCAACGCCTGGGTCAGTTTGCCCTCGTGCTTGTAAATGATACCAAGTCTGAAGTAGATCTCGGATGCCTTGTCAAAGTTTGCATCCAACTCCAACACTCTTCTGAACGCCTCCTCGGCATATTCCAAGGAGCCATAACGATCGTAGAGGATACCAATCCCATGCCACAACTTCGGAACGTTTGGGTTGTTCAGGTGATACAGCGCCTGCTGATAGGCGGCATACGCCCGTTGTAAATCGTCAAGCATCAAATAGCAGTGACCCAACAGGCCCCACGTTTCACCGGCATCTGGCTTTGCAGTCAACGCTCTTTGGTAGAGCTCCGCAGCCTTAGCAAACATATCCCTTGAACGGTACAAGTTGGCCAACGACGTCAAAGCTGGTGCAGAGTTTGGAGAGTGTCTCAACGTGGCATCGTACGCAGCGGCAGCACGGTCAGCATCACCGAGGGACTCAGCTAGTGAGCCGATCGCTAGCCAGGTTTCAGCAGTGGCGTTGTTCAGCTCCTGTTCCTGTGCTGTGAACTGTTGCTGGGCTTGTTGGACCGCCTGTTGTTGCTGTTGTTGCTGTTGTTGTTGCTGTTGTTGTTGTTGTTGTTGTTGTTGCTGCTGCTGCACCGCCTGTTGATGCGGAGCTGGCGCTATGTGCTGTGGCATTGTGGACAAAATAACCAAAGCTTAAAGTACAGACAAACCTTCAATGGTGGACAAAAGCTATAACTCAGACTCTGCAAATACGGTGATTCGATTCGCGCTCTTGATGTCTGTCCGAGGGTGTGTGTATCGGTATTTTTATATCCTCAAGTTCCCCCTGTTGATTTGTATCGAGGTCCTTTGTATCAAAACTGAATAACGTGTGATCTTAACAACGTAAAGTTGTGTTTCTTCGACAACGGCCTTGAATCTTTAATAAGTGAGACGTTTTTTTTGAACAATTTTTTCTCAGGAGCTGAAAGAGACAAAACACGCCAACGATGAAAAACAAACAAAGAAAAAAAGAGACGAATCCTTCCGTTCAAGCGTTGTGTATAAGAGGCGTTATCCTTATCCTTCTTTAAGAGCGCAGAGAGTGTGCTTTCCGGTTTCTCGAGAGCTTCAATTGGTTGACGAGAAGAAGGATGTGGTGAAAAAAAACACAAAAAAAGAAGGAGGGGTGGAGCGGTTGTGTTGTTTTTTGTGCTTTGGCGTTGGAACTTGTTCTCTCCCGTTTGTGTGTGGACAATTGGAGATAAAAAATGTGTGAGCCTTGATGCCAAGCAAAGTTTGGGAAGCAGGAAAAAAAGAAAAGAGAACGAGAAGGATGGGACAAAAAAAGAAAGAAAAGAAAGGAGGTAAAGGAAAACCACACAAATGTCCCCTTTCCGAGTTCCAAGTTCCTGATGCACGTCGTTGACGATGCAGGAAAAAGTTTGGCTTCGTTTCTGCGTATGTCTATCTGTGCTCTGCCAAATGCTTTGACGGTTGTCGTGCATGGTTTTCAAAATGGGTTTTGAAGCTTCCATAGGTTTGTATGAATTAGCGTGTGTGCTTTGGCTAACAATGAGATGGTGCAAGGAATTGGCGCAGCTTTTTGCTCCCTCCGCTCACTGTCGTACAGGATCGAAGTCTTTTCGGGGAGGGAGGGTTTCAAGAGGAGTTGAGTATCAATATCTACGATAGTTTTTTTCTGTTGTTCCAGCAAGCCATAACGGTATAATTGCTATATAACGAGTCACAGCTTTGTAGGCTTATTTCAAAGATGCCCTTTCAATAACACACCAGATTGGGCAGGGGGAACAGACGTTGAAAGCCTGTGCTCAGCGAAGGCCACATGTAGCTTGTGGGAATTGACTCATTCGCACTTGTTCAACTGTAGTGGGAGTGACATTTACAGTGCTGAGGATGGAAGATTAATCAAGAGAAAATTGGAGCGTGATGGGCCATGCTTTTTTTTGATGTTGGCCATCGCCAACACTTCAAAAAAGAAGTTGATATCCCTTGGGTCATTTATGACCTTTGCGCAGAGACATACGTGCCTTTCGTGTGATGAGTTCGGTGTGAAACCACACCAAAAATGCTTACATCTCGAAGAGAGAAAGTGTCGTGTTTTCTAGTGGAGTGTGACTGTTTGTTTTTCCACCCCAGCCCTACCTCTCTCGCACTCGAAGAAGCCGCGTACATAGGTGCAGAGCGCAGCTGTTTTAGCCAAACGGATTTCTGTTGTACACGCTTTCCCAGATGGTTCGAGGGGGGCAGGACCAGCTGGTTGAGCAACCTTCAGCTTGATCCATAGGCAAAGGGAGAAGCAACGGAGAAACCCTGGAGCTGGCACATGGGAGGCAAAGATGAAAGCATGCTGAAAACTATCGGATTTGCCAATCGCTTGTGTGATGCGTAATTATGAACCCAAGGTCAGAAAAATGCAAAAGAAAAGAATCCAATGTCTTAGAGGCTTCTCATACGATCACCAACAACGATAGCACTGCGGAAAAAAACGCTACGGCTAATGAGTTGCGACGAAAAAGCGGAACCGAAAAGCTACAAGGGATTCGGTGATGAGTCAATTGAATCATCGTGTTGAGATTAACCATTCCAGGATGCGCAGACCTGTCCATATGTACGCATTTTTGTCCAAAGTCGACGTGGCCAGAGATTTATTGCTTGAAGCTTAGAGTATAATCAAAACAGCCATTGTGCACACATGGAGTGATGTTTAAACCAAGTGTTCGCTCAATTCTACAGATATTTCAGTAATCTCAACCGAAACGAGAAGCCGGCTCCTCCTCTGTAGAAGCCTTAAAGGCCCACTGTGTTCATAAATTTCCAGTTGATGAGTGATTCGCCCCCTATTCGACTGATTTACTCTCCAAAGAAAAGAAAGGACGAAAATACTGACACATGCCACATTGCCAAGGAGCCAAGACTTTTACCTTGTTATATTCCTGCACACCTACTTCAACTCAAGAACAAATCACATGTAAATGCTCAAAGCTCAAAGCTCAAAGCTCAAAGCTCTAGCTCCATGTCAAGCTCGGCTATTGGCGCATTGCCATCAGTAACTATTTTCGTTTTTTTTTGCGCAACAGGTCTGCTTTTGCCCCCCTGTTGTCTTCCCGTTTCGAATGTTAAATCCTTTGCATGAATATATCTTGGCGTGCGTATTAAGAGCCAGAAACTCACTCATTGATTTGCGCCAAGACTTGTTAGCGTTTGTGGCTTTTTTCTTTTTCGCTTTGCATATTTATTTCTTTTCGATCAAAATTAAAATTAGAATTTCCCTTACAAAATAACCCGCAGCAAATGCCCAAAGATTTTAGTCCTCCGCCAAGAGTTCTTTTCCGTAAAATTCTGGGGAGTCCCGTCTACATCCGCCCCTCACACGCACCAGAACCGGAAAGACCGACCCGTGGTCTCTGAAACTTTGGACAGGGAGAAACAGCTACAGAGTTTTATAGCTGTGCAACACGAGCACCTGTGCCGTTTCCTCCCGTCAGCAGTGGATGAGAGTCGGAGCTCCAGCTCGCCAAACTTCATCACGCATACATTCCGGCCTGTAAAGAAATGTGGGTGATGGATGTCTGCCTGTTGTAGAAAGATCGGAGTATTTGATCGTGTGGGCATTGTGTAATCTGCTCTTGTTCTTAGTCGTGGTGCTTAGTCAGGGTGCCTAGTCGTGCTTAATCGGGGTGTGTGATCGGGGCCACCTCCATGACGAAACCACGCATCGCGAAATCACGCATCGCCTAGTCTACACGGCTACTCAACGCTACTCATTGGCTCCTTCAGCTTCAGCCAAAATACACAACTCAAAGGCCTTCTGATGAACCCAACAGGACCAAACCCAATGGTACAATTAGCACGGTGCGTGGTTCAGTCAGATTGGATAACAGTACAATGAAAGATGTAAACTCTACATCGTGTACACCGCAGATAGAAGCATCGTGATTATAGCCCTAATCAACTAGAATACGGAGAACACTGGGATGAGATCTCCTCCACGTTGAGATCCTTCAAGTAGTTGTAGAAATCGTCAACAGGGACAAACTTACGCTCAACACCGGAGTACAAGATACGCAAGTGGTAGGAATCGTTGGACTCTTGGTGATAGAGCTCAAAAATGTACTCTGCGCCCATACCTGGCCATTGGAAGAATCCCAAGTCGAGGTATTTACTCAACAGTGCAGTCAGGGCTGAAATCGAACCGTCATGTGCGATGTTGTGTTGATAGATGACTTTTCTCTCTCCACTGATAACCTCTTGGAAATGGGAAGCCAGCTCGGTGGTGAAGTTACCGTACTTGTAAATACCATAATCGGTGGCATTGGGGTTGGAGTAGAAAGTGTAATCGTATTCCCAATGGCCCAGTTTCATAACGGTCTCGAATTGTGAATTCGTAACGTTTATCATGTCACCTGCACATGTCTTAGTCGACAAGTTATCGAAGAAATGGTCGATGGAACCATAGAATCCAGGATGAGAAGTTGCATTGATGCCATCCTGTGTGGCCAGCTCGTCATAAATGGTCATGTTTGTCTCATCGTACCACATTGGGGTTGATCTGATTGCTTTCTTCAAATCATCCGCTTGATGGCAGTCCAAGTTTGGTTCCAAGTTATCAACCTCACGCAACTCAGCAGTGATGTTGTCGTTTGGATACATTCCAGTGATTAACGAGTCGAAAACCTGTTGGGTGATGTTGTTGTTGGTGATTCTCCATTGGACCAACTCCTCGTCGTATTCATCAGGCAAGAACCCCAGTTCATCATGGTACAGCTGAAATAGATCAAGACCATGTTGCTTAGAGTCGACCTTACCGCCAGCGGTGATCTGCGGATAGCGAACACCTTCTTCTTTCACATCACCTGGAAGCATGTTCGAAGAGTATGGGGTTCTCTTCTGGTGTCTATGGATAACTTCGACATAGGCCAGCTTGTACTCAGACGTGACGTTTTGGTAAGACCGCTTGTTAGCACGAGGCATGTTGCAGTAGTTATAAGTCTCAGAAACTCCCAACGGAGACTGGGACCCCCAGTGGTATCCGAACAATGGACGTGCAACGTAATCTTCTGCACTGATTGGCTCAAGATGAGCCAGCGCTAAGGACGCGACAGAAGCGATTGTCAATGCGTATCTCATACTCCCTCGATGTTGCTGTTCTTGCTTCTTCTTTGGCGACAACTGGGGTTTTCTACCAAGGATATCCCAAAGGCTTAAATAGCACTTTTTCCAGGGTGAATAAATGACACCAGATACTCCGAAAACGTGGTCGATAGGAGATGTACTGAGTCCTATACTTTGTCTGCTGAACCCTCGTGCTTACTCTCACATAACCCAGAGTAAACCCTCTTCCTTGCCGATCAATGAGAGAATCAGCCGGCAAAGTGAAGTGGTCTGGAGCTCTTTTCATGCAACGTTTTGCAGTTAGAGTGAAGGAATCACACGTTTTCAAATGTTTTGGATGCAAATCGCTCAGCGAAGTGGCCGATGTTTTAGTCCAATCTGCTCCACGTCCTACAATGGCATACAGTGTAATGGGAAAACGTGCTTGATGTGATTCTTTGCTTCCCAAAACGGAAATGGTTATGAAGCGTTTGAAAAAAAGATGAAAATGTGGTGTACGGATGTAAATTCGGTGTCACGTGACAGTCAACCGGAATTTGGATTATGGTCACGTGATTTGGCTTCCCACCGTGGGTTTCTGGTGTGAATTTTTTTAATGCACATCATCTCAGACGATGAGCTCTTCCTAATCGAACAAACCTCACCGAATCAAATGTCGTTCCCACTGGGTAAGAAGACCTTAGAGGATACCAAGAAGTCTCTTGAGTCCCTGATTGCTCATGAAATCAAGCAAGGGAATTCTGGCCATGAATTTGTATACTTGGTGATCAATATGGAAAGGCCATTGACCAAGGTAAGGGACCATACACCACGAATAGTACCCATTCCCAATAGGCTTTCCCGCATATCTGAGCGTTCCGTGTTGCTGATAACCAAAGATCCATCCACGCCGTATCGTGATCCCCTGACCAGAGCAAAATCACCGACAGAGGATCTCTTCAAGGATATAATGCCTTTAAAGAAAGTGAAAACCTTGACACGCTCAACAAAGTCGGCTAAGAACATGCTGTCTGAGTACGACCTGATCCTTGCAGATCATCGTATACACCATCTGTTACCTGATATAATGGGTGAAGTGTTTTATAGAGCACACAAGAGGGTGCCCTTTGTCGTACAACTGGCGCAGATCACCGAGGAAGACATGAAGAAGCCCTTGAAGAGACAAGAACGTGTTGAAAGGTGTGATGCTCAGTACGTACTGAAACAGATGAGATCAATTGCTAAGAATACGTACTACTTCCCGTCGCGTGATGCGCAGATTGTTCTCAAAGTTGGGTATATCGATACCGAACCTGAGAAACTATGCCAAAACATTGGTGCGGTTATAGAGTTCCTTCACAATGAAAAGTTCCTACCTTCTGGTGGAGTGCTGAAGAAAAATCCAATGAAGGAACTCTTTGTAAAGACAAACAATAGTGCAAGTTTGCCTATTTGGGTAAAGAAAGATTGATTCGTAAGGCTATACGTTGTACACTACCGAGGATGCTTTTGAAAGTGAGGATTAACTCCAGTTTCACAGGCATTCCTCTGGTCACTTGATGGAAAAGTGACCATTCAATGTATTCCAAGCAACATATAGTATGTAATAATTAACAAGGACTGTATCACATATGGTCTGTTGTATTAGAATCCGTGACTAGGGCTCAAATAGTCCGTCTTGAAACAAGTAAGACCTGAGCATAGCACATCGTTTTAACGTTGATAGTCAGGTTTAATACGTATTCGTGCTGTCAAGATTGACTAGCTACATAGGCTACTTGAGTGAAGACTTCCCACGGGTATTCATGATTCCTCGTGAACGTAGAAATGGTGTTCCTCGTGGCTTGTGGAATAGCACCGACTAGTAATCAGTGACTCTCATGCAGTCGCCTGATGTAAAAGACTATGATCAGAAGCAATTAGTAACCTGAATCAAGGTTTAGTAAGCAGATAATCGAATGAAACCAGTGTAGTGTAACAGGAATACCAGAGAGGTGCTTTATATCTATCCAAGTTAGCCCATAAGAGCACGGCTATACAAAGGATAAAGTTGTCATCCATAGCTGTTGTCGGAAACTCAAATAAATATGTTCCATAGTATATCATAGAGGTCAGGTGACATGAAGCACATACCTGGATTGAATCAATGTTCCTTTATTCCAACTTTCCATCCCATATTATACAATCTTGAGTTGTTCAAACCCTTCAAGTAATCGTCTTGGAGTAAGTTGAATCTAGGTGTTATGGAGAGATTAAGCAAAAGGATTTCTACGATCTTTGAGATCCAACGTGTGGACATTGAAGTAGACTTAAGGCTACTTGTGCAAGAGAGAGTTAAGACCAGCCTTGAACGATGTGTGTATTAACACGATTAAAGATTAGTCATATGTCCAATTGCGACTAGATTCTGCATACTAAACCCAGTAGACTCAAAAGAAGCCATCCCCTCCAGTTCCTTCAAGAATTGGAAAGCCAGTGGCCAGCTCCCAAGCACCATTTGAAACCATAAGACTAACCATACGCACAGCGCACTATGTCTCATTCCAACAGCAAGAACTCATTGTCATTTCATACATTCCTGCATTCTTTTCCCATCACACATTAATCAAGACGGGCATGAATGTATCATTCAAGCTCAGCAGACGCACAATACGCACGCTACACAGGCCCAAAATAACCGACGACAACTACATTAGGGCGCTGTGTCACAAGAGAAGGCTTCTGTAAGGGCCAACAAAGCCTCCCAGTAGGTTGTTCCGCCTATCCTAAACAGAATAGCTCCTACAATCCAATGAAACCATACCTCATGCGGTACACTTCGTCGCTGTGTGATATTCTGAGGCAAAGCTGCGCAACTTGTGGTAACGGCACACTTCTACCTCGACATTTTCTCAATATCGGAACTTTAAACGGTATGTCGGTTTCCTCTTTCAGTGTTTCTAGTCTCTCCGGAAAAACGAGACTAACTCTAATGGACCATGACCATTTCGATCGTCCCCCAGATCTTGGTTGTGATCATAGCTTGGAGTGAGCAGCAGGACTCACGGTATCAGTGTATACTCAGGCTTGCTCAATACGCACCGCACTATATCTCAATAACAATATTGCACTGCCTCTTGAGTCTTGTATCCGTGAAGATCACAACACTCTGTGTTGGCCGCACGGTGTATGCCGTTATAGTGCCATATTGAAACATACTGGAGCCATGCGAAATCCTTCCACAACGCGAATCGGTACAACTTTTAAATCCCCTCCAGCCCCTTATTGATAGGGTACTAAACATTCACAGTTGGCATGTAAAAGTGACCAAACGCCCATGTGCTGTAAGGCTTGTGTTCTTTTGTTCAGTTGGCAGAGAGACTGAAAGGTTGGCCGTTGAACAATCATTCGATAATGTACAGCAGGCTGAGAGTACCAGATGACACATCAACACGTGGCGTTCACGTACTAATGCAGAGACGCTTAAAGGGGGAACGCAATGGGTGTGTGAAAGATATAGCTTGCTCGATGAAGCGGTGGACTGTCTAATCCTACGTTGGCTATCTGGGGCATTAAACGTGCCATTTATCGGCCTTGGTGTTACTGCGTACAAATGATATCCAAGGAAGGTATATCGATAAGGTGATTAGCCAATCACTGACCCCCCGTGATGTGGGTTCTATATATATACGGTGCTGTATCACGCATTTGGAAACACTGAGATATCACTACACTGCACAAAGCAGTCGCCAATACTGCCTCAGAGGTGCAAGCGCACTACCTAACTACTCCTGGCACGCAAGCAGTGCTGCCAAGCACGGTGTTTATTCTGGTGAAAGGTTACGACACTGTTGGGTAGCTATCTTCTCAAGAGTGTGTATGCTTGTGAAGGACGGTTGGTAATGTGGCTGACTCCGTTCAGTGATTTGCACAAATATCAGAAGTCCAATAATGGAACTTGCAGCCTACTGGGCACTCTAGACGCGCGAATATGCACTGTCGCTATGAGATCTGCACGTTTAGCTGCACCATCCTGCGAAGAGGCCTTAACCTTCCTTTGTCCACCAGCTAATCAGCAAGCATTCAGAATGACTGGCTTGAATCAGGTTCTTTTAGCAAGTGACTAATGATAGAACGCCAACTTCCGCCTCCTCCTCTATCCATCACATCCCCGTTTCGATCTTGTGCTTGTGGGCTGGGCTGGAAAGAGGAACCTCCAATACAACTCCTTTACGTAATCTGGCGCGTAATGGTTGCTGTGCGTCGTGGTATAGCCTTATGTATATGTACGCCTCTGCTGTACAAGATGTCTGTAAAAACCTTCCAGTGTTGATGAACTCATGCTTGAGTTAACTTCTGTTTTAACTTCGCAAGGTGGGTACCAGTAGGCCGTGGTTGTACGAAGTGGTGCACCGTGGCCCCTTGTTATGTCTCTCTATTAGCAAGAGATTCACACGGGTTGATTGACGGGCACACGCATTATATTGTTATTGTTATTCTTAGATCATATCACTTCGATGCTGCCAGGCCCGTCTGCCCTATAATAATACGAAAGCGACTTGAATCTTCCCAGCACTGCGACCCAGGTTTCAGGCCTTTATACACTTCCATGCAGCAGTCCTAAACCTCTCGTCTTGTTCCTGTTTTTTCTTCTAGACTTTCTGGACATTTGGATCTGTCTTGCGTGGGCTTCCGGCATGGCTCAAGTTCCCTAATCTTTTCATACTCTTCCTACTGGTTCTTCCTTCTGCTCTTTCTTCTTCTTCTTCTTCTTCCGCTCGCGTGTCCCGGTGCATATATACTCTGAGACTACTTCTATTGGTACTCATTCACTATGCTTCGTAGTATTGGACGGTTATTTATCCGGAAGAAGGCCCATTTCCTGTCTGGCCTCGTGCTTCTCGTCATAGTGGCTTCTATAGCTGTGATCACCAGAGGCGAGAACGACGGTGTTAAAGGTGTTTTCAAGGTCCCACTACAAGAGGTGGACACACTCCAGGATGTGGAAACACCACAAGAGGTGGACACACCACAGGATGTGAAAACACCACTACACGAGGTGGCTCCGTATGAGAACGTTATCAAGTACTTGAGAGACGAAAGACACCTGACTGAGGAGAACTCGAAAGTGTTTAGCAAGGAGCCTGGCAAACAAGACATAACAGACATCTTGGACTTCGATCGTGACCATCTCAAGGTTATCTATCAAGATATGATCGACACTGTCTACAAGAACACTGACTTGGACGGGGTGGACTGGGAGAAACTCGCCTACGTCTTCTATGCCACCTCTGAGAGTCACGTCTGCAATGTGTTGATGAAGTTTGCTGAGCTCAGAAACTATGGCTCCAGAGCACAGTTTGAGCTCCTTATTGGCCGTCATCTCATGGATGAGGCGAAGAAGCCTGCTCTGTACAAGCAGCTGACGGACTTTGCAAAACAGCATAAAGTCATCTTCAAGCCTGTTGACGTTATCCACATGGAAGGTGGGCCAGAGGTTATCTGGGAAAACGCGTTCACGAAGCTGCTGGTGTTCAACGAGACGCAGTACGATAGAATCATCTACATGGACTCAGATGCCGTTTTGCCAAATGGCCATATGGACGAGCTGTTCTTCGTTCCTCCGTGTAGACTGGCTGTTCCTAATGGTTATTGGCTCACTGAGTCGCTTCTCCATAACAAAGCGGAGAGATATAACATGAAGGACTATGGATTCGTCCCAATGACCACAGAGCAGAGACAAGCTAAGATCGATGAAATGGTGAAGACAAACATCACTGCCTTCCTTGATCCAAACACTGGTAAATTACCAGTCTTTAAAAACGGGAAGGCTCCTCTGAAAGACCGTGTCAACGAGAAGAACTTCTACACAAACTTGTTCAACAGTCTTCCAAACGACCCAGTGCTGGACGAGTACCAACTGACCGATTTCCTGATGGTTATTCAGCCTTCGCCAGAGTTATTCGCCAGAGTTCAACATTCTTTGGATATTAGAACTACAGAGTTCGACATGGATCTTATCCAGAGACATGTTTTCCCACCACAACCATGCTTGGATATGCAAAAGGAAAGCGGACAGAAAGATCTCACCTATGACGACAGACTCGCTGAGGTCCCAGAGATGATCGTCCTCCCACATTCTACGTACGCTGTTCTCACCATGGATCTCAACCGTAGAGATAACCATGACATGTTGATGGCTGATACTCAAGACCTTGCATTCATGATGCAGCGTCCTGAAAAGCCAAGTGAGGACGTACACTGGTATTGGGAGATTGATCATTTGCCAAACTTGGCCGACATCATCTACGACAATGTCAAGTACCTTCATTTCTCTGACCATCCAATTCCTAAACCATGGTTCAAGAAGGACATTTTCAACGGCTATATGGGTGCAAGATTCAGATGCCCAAGCCACCCAGACTTCTCCAGCACCGACGGTCGTGTGAAGCCAAGATGGACAATCAATGACTGTGGGCTTGGAGAACGTTGGGAAAGAGCCCATGAGATGTTTGCGAAATCTAGAAAGGATGTGTGTGGTCTTGACTTGATCGAGACTGATAAGGATACCTACGTCGAGATCGTCAACTGAACATTGAGTTTTTGACATCTCTGCAAGATATGTAAAATGCCAGTGGGCAGAATCTTTCATGTTGTTACAGTCATATTATCAACTCTGTAAATGATCAAATATCTATAAATTATTCCTAAAGGTTCTTATTTAATGTACACGGGTAATGTGAGATGAGCTCGTACGATTTATCACTGCAGTGTTCCGTTCTGTTCCTTACTACAGGCAGCATAGTGTAGAATTAGTGGTGCTCTTCCAGTGAATATTCCTACAATCGATGATTCAACTTGTTCGTCTCACGCAGTATACTTCTCACTACGGTTTAAATGGCTTCTTCTGCGTATTACTTGCCATCGACACCGTTCAGCAGAGTCCTATGAGGTAAAAAAAATGTTTATATTGCTGATTGGCTTCTGTAGAGATGGAATGCTTTATCATTTGGCTGGAAGAATGTACCTGAATGTGGTTCATTTATATATTAGTGTGTGCTGTTTGAATCATACCGCTAGCATATTGCTGCTCATGTGAGTGACATGATAATGATTTCCAATTATACTGAGAAGTACCCGGAGGGTATTAAAAGACAGCTGTTGACTCTAAAGAAACGTATGGTCTTGGAGGATGCTCATTTGTGTATCTATGAGATTTCATTGATAAGCTATAAGCTTGTTAAAAAGTGCTTGAGGACTATAGTACAAGACCTTCGATATACCAGTTCATGAAGTAAGGCTTTAACAACAATTGACGGGTTTCTATAAGGTCGTATTGGTTAATATCATCACTGATGAATCAGGCAATGCTATTGACATGGTGGCTAATATGAAGATTGATGCTATCGGGTCAAGTATCAGTTTCATGTCCAAAAAAGTTGGATGTGTTCCAATATAATTGGAATATTACGGCAAAGAAGACTCAAAACTATTGGTCTTTTGATTATAGCTTTTCTCAGACCATCCTTTATTGAATAGAATGATAAGTGTTGAGACGTATCCCATTGCAATGGAGCACTTGTTTGAGAAAGGAAGTTTTGTCTACGAAACAAAGTCGCTACACCAGGCGAATTCGTTCACTTTGTATCTCAAATCAGTGCAGTTCCTATCCATGGTGGAGTAATCGTTTGTACTATTCAGTTCCTCAGCGAAGGCTCTGAGATATCGATCAAATCTTGTTACAAGTCTGCGGTCATTAAGGAAGCCATGAACAGATTACAGGTACCGTAGAAGAGCGACCCGTGATTCAGTGACAAGATATCGCAATCTGATGCTTCTGTGGTAGTGTGATTGGCACATTGTCATCCTCCCAACTCCAAGTTGTCTGATACTTTTCACCAAAATACCTTTCTTCACAACCCTGATGGATGATCATCAATCTCCGTCTCACAATACAAAGCTTTCAATCTTGAACAAAGGATAGGTGGCTATAGGTTGTCCTGAGGAAATCCAGCTGAGCCAGTAAGACGCTGTTCTTTACAACATCCTGGAACATAATACATTAGAACACAAGATAACTGAGGTCATTCTACTGGACAGAGGTAAAGCCTTCATCAAGGCGTACACTTCGACCATCTCGCAATGTTCTTCGAATCTTCACGCCTCTCGTTTAAAACATCAACAAGGCAATAGCAGTTGATAAACTGAGTTCCATCATCATATCGATACGCATTGTGCTTCGTTGTAAGGTATAATTGCTCTAGCCTTCCATGCCAATACGCTGGCTATGACCTGCCTAATATAATATAATATACTATAATATAATATAATATTTGCGGACTTTCGGTTGGCGCACATCTTCACGGGAATAGACTCATCGCCGGTGCTAAAATTACATCAATGATCCAATGTCATTCTCGGTCAAAGACTACGAATTGTCTCGTTGAATCACCCAAAATGAGGTTTTTCCAGAAGGTTCTCGTTGTGCTTACATGTGGAATTGCAATAATTTTGCAATCCACACAGATGGTACGGGATAAGCTCTCTAGCGTTGCATACGAACAACACCTACGTTTGCAGTACTTACAGTCGTTAAGGTCAATTCAGTATACCTATGACCCAGAGCAGATATTTAGGCCCAAGCTGGCTTCCAATTCCTATTCCCAAAAGATCCTTATAGACGAGAACAGGGATGACGTCCAGATCGGCATGGAGAACGCAACCATCATAATGCTCGTTAGAAACAGCGAACTGGAAGGTGCGCTGAGTGCGATGAGGTCGCTCGAGGATAGGTTCAACAAAAAGTACAGGTACCCTTGGACTTTCCTCAACGATGTCCCCTTCACTGATGAGTTCATCGAGGCCACGACGCTGATGGCCTCTGGAACCACCGAATACGGGCTCATCCCGTCTGAGGAATGGGATAGGCCTCCGCACATCGACGAGGCCAAGTTCGTGCAGTGCATGGCAGACATGGTCGAGAAGGAGGTGATCTATGGCTTCTCAGAGTCGTATAGAAACATGTGTCGATTCAACTCCGGCTACTTCTTCAGACAGCAGCTTGTCAACAAGTACGAATGGTACATGAGAGTGGAGCCCGATGTCGAGTACTACTGCGACTTCGACTACGACCCCTTCAAGGTGATGAGGTTGAACGGCAAGAAGTACGGCTTCATCATCTCAATCCACGAGTATGAGGAGACGATTCCAACGCTTTACGACACAACGATGGACTTCTTCGAGCTGAACCCGCAATATCTCCATCCAAACAACTCGTTGGACTTCCTCACTGATAAGGAGCCCTTCCCAAATAGTCAGGTCAGAATGGACGTTGCCAACGACTATAACCTGTGCCATTTCTGGAGTAATTTTGAGATTGGTAACCTGGATTTCTACAGGTCAGAGGCGTACTTGCAGTACTTTGAGTACTTGAACCAAGCTGGTGGGTTCTACTACGAAAGATGGGGTGATGCTCCAGTTCATACGCTCGCCGCAGCGTTACTGCTTGACAAGCACGAGATCCATTACTTTGAAGATATCGGCTACTTCCACAACCCGTTCGCCAACTGTCCTTCGAGCACTGGGATCAGGAAGTCCAAGCGATGTATCTGTGATTGTTCGGATGAGTCTGTCATTGATGTGCTGCCACACAGCTGTGTTCCAATATGGTGGAAAGTTGGTGGTAAGACCTTTCTGAAGGACAAGGGGGTTATCTAACGCTAATGAATCATACTCGAAAATACAGCGCCTGCTTGGAAGACTGGTGGTGGTGATAGTAGTAGTAGTACATTAGTATGGAGTTTCCAGTCTCGACAGCTGGTTCAAGATCGTCTTGAGTTCATCGTCGGACTTCTTGTTGGCCAAGCTTGGTATCAGCGTCTTGGCCTCGTCAACGTCGTCGCACGCCAGCGAGCCCAGCTGTGCAACCTCGAAGGGGTGTAGATCTGAGTTCTCTGGGGCCTTCAGCAGCGCCTCCACGGCGGCGACTGTCTCAGTATCCCTGAATCTTGAGAACGCGCTGAGATAGTCCAGCGTCTTCTTCAGCACCTCGTTTGCCCCAACGGCAATCGCCGCTTTGGCGATTTCGTTGTTGTCCTCGTCGTTGCCGTCGTCATCGTCCAGGTCGTCCATGTCAACATCCGCGGTGTCTTTGAACTCACCGTTCGGCGTCATAACCTTCTTACGCATCTTGAGCGCACTTCTGATGAGAATACGTGCCTCGCTCAAGTTCAACGCAATCAGATCGGAAACCTCGCCGTCGTGTCCGATCTGGTGGATGTCGAACTCTGGCCCAAGGTTTAACGTAGCAGCGTTCTCTTCTTCGTCCAGATTCCCGCGCGCAGTCCGTCTTCTCACACCGGCCGTTGACGTTGACACATTCATCTTTAGTCGTATCTGCTTCTTCTTCCCCTTTGTGAACCCGGCTGGAACTTCGGCTGTTCTTTCCCTTCTTGCTCTGCTTTTTTCCCTTTCTTTCTGTGGTTGTTGATGTTTTACCATCTTCTACACACAGCAGGCTCGTCCGCCCGCCAGCTTCGCCAAGTAAGTTCCGGGGGGCCTTGATTACGTCAGCGTCCTCGGAAGTGGGCATGAATAACATCCACACACCAACACTTTGGCATACGGTTCAAGCACTTCTTAGCTACTGTTACTGTTAGCTATTACTACGGTACTGAGAGCTTTGTTTACTTGTGCATTCTTTCCAATATAACACGGGTTGCAATGGTTGAGAACGAGTTGAGACGCTTGGTAGAGGAAAGTGGTATTCTATCACCGGAAGGTGCTCTTTTGTTCAGCAAAGACGGTGTACTGGGAAGTATGTAATATCTATTCAATCAGAGCATGACATGGTGAACTAACACTGATTGCGCCCTTGCGAGGGGTGTAAAGGTTATGGTGTTGCAAAGTTAGAGGACTTTGATGATCTAAGGGACTTGAAGCTGACGAAGGAAGGTTTTGGGCTCTATGAGCTTCACTCTTATAAAATTCTGATATTGGCAAAGGGAAACGAAACACTAGCTGTTTATACTAAGTCGAGGCCATAATGTATAGATAAACGTCTTTGGTCGGTTTCAGAAACTAAAAAAGGAAAGATATGTAATGGTGTTATAGCTAGATGAACCCAGCACCTCCAAAGCCACCACTCCCGCTGAAGGGGGAGTCAAATGGTGATGGATTGGAACCATCACGTCTGTAAGAGCCCCTTGGTAATCCCATCCCTTCGCTATCCAAATCTGAGGCACCACCCATTGGATCATCATAGCGTGATCCCAAGGGATGGTCTCCTCTAAATGTTGGCGCTCCGCCAGTTTGTCCAAAGAGTGGATGATTCTTCCCTGGAATCATGCCATTGAATGGCCTCTTTGAAGATGTGCCCATAGGGTCTAGAGAAGGGTACTTCTCGCCTCCCGGATAGAGATCAGAGTCTCCGATTGAAGGGAATGTTGTACCACGTGGAGCTTGACCTGATGCTTTACCAAGAACTTCATATTCATCATCAAATTTCGGTATAGACTCAGGTAATGGTTTAACCTGTGTAGAATCACCAGGTTCTGAACTTATGAACAGACCTAGTTGTTCAGCCATGGCTTTTGGAAGCTTAGCAGGTTCAAATGATTTCATATCAGATTCAGCTCGAGCTTTGAAAGATTGGGAAGCCTCCAAGTAGGATACAATACCGGAAGGTATGGATCTAGCCCACTCTTCGCCCCTCAGAGACGAATAGTACAAATCTAAGGCTTCAACTGATGTTGGTGACTCTATTGATCTCAATTCATCAGAAAAGTCCGAAACACGACCAAACGAATGGGCTGCACTTTCACCCTCCAATATAACGCTTAGCGAATAGCCCTCTTTAGACACTTTGGTTACAGTGACATACACTTTCAACTGATCATGGTCTTGCTGTTGAAGCGTGATGCTATGAGAAGAATCACCAGGGTATTGATCCACCACGGTAAACCCCAATTGCCTGTGAGGATAAGAAGCAGAATAAGCAATGATTTGTTCCTTAGAGTTCAATTCCATCGTGTCCAAGAGCGTCAAGTATCAATATAACTCAATTATGTGCAGTTCAATGTGTCATGAACTTCGGTTGCGGTCTTTCGCTGTAACAGTGCGTATCGCGGTGTAGTTGAATAAGGGCCCCCACAAATAATCCAACCACCACAAAGCTTTATCACAATACTGGATTGGATTGATATAAAAGACACCACCACGTATAGTTAATGGCTTGTGGAGCAAGGAGATGTGTTTCAGTGATCTGCTTTAATCCCATATGGTGAAGGAGAAATAAGCTTAGTAAGCACTTACGTAATGCTGCTTATGTAACAAATATACATCCGAACACCTGACGCGATGAGCCGGTCAACAAACGCACTAAAACCACGAGTTTACCCTCTTTTCCAACGTTTACAAGGGTTTGTTATTCAGAGACAATGTCGAACAATCGGGTGAGTAAGAACAATCGGGTGAGTAAGAACAAGTTAAGGGGAATAGCGAAGGGGCCGTTGACTCCCAGCCCGTCGCCGTGTAATAAGCGTCAGTTGAAGCAGTATATCCTTTCTGTTGGTTCAAAGACGCGGCGCACCTGTGCACAGTGTGGTATGTCTTACTTGGTGAATTCGCCCAGTGATGTTAAACTGCACGATAAATTCCATAGGATATGTGTTGATGGGCGTGATTGGAACATGAGACTGGGTGAGCCCCTGGAGTCGATTTCTCAGAACGAGGCCATCTATAAAGTGGACTCCTCCAGACAATATGAATGCATCGGTGCTCTGGAGATGCTGGACATCGTCAACAAGGAATTGAATGCGCCGGACGATAATGATTTTTGGACCTCTGGAGACTCAAATGGAAGTGTCTATGTCTACGTAAGGAACAAAGTTGCCGTTGGCATCGTTTCAGTTGAGAGGTTCAACACCAACCCGGGCCACGGCAAGAAGGGCTATTGGTTCAGCGTTGAAGATGGACGTGTTGTTAGTCCTCAACCCCTGGACATTCTCTGTGGAATATCAAGGATCTATGTGTGTCGTCGTTACAGAAGACACGGAATAGCCATCAAGCTATTGCACGCCGTCCAAAGGCATTTGATCTATGGCTTGGTCATTCCGAGCTTGAAGATTGCATGGTCACAACCGTCAACTTCTGGAGGCCAACTGGCGATGAGGTTCAACGGCAGAATGCACAAGTCCGGCAAAGTACTGATACCTGTATACACATGAAAGCTCGCTTGCTATTATCCAAGTGGTGGTGGTATAAGTAACCGTAGTAATCGTGGTAAAAAGTAAACAAACAACAATGGGACGGTACGCGCAACATCACATAAATGTCTAGCAGAAAAAACCCACACAATGTCCAAATCAGACAAGCCCACCCAGGCACAAACAGACAAAAATCACAAACTGGGAAAAAAACAGGGAAAAACCAAAAAACAGGCGGAAAAGGCTCCACGGAGAACAAAGAAGACGGGAAGAAAGAGCGTGGTTTGACGGTTGAGAGAGCGAGAGCGAGCGAGAGAGAGAGCAAAAGCGAAATCCGAGAGCTCAGGAAAGAAGAAAACTCACTATGACCACCACAGTACCAAAGATATATTCATTTGCAGAGTTTGCCGGGGTTGCGGACGCCGTTGCCGACCATGTTGTTGCTGCTCAGAACCAGGCATTGACTAACAGTATACCATCGTCGACGCATAACTCGTCCTCGTCCACTGGGCAGACGCCAAACGCCAGTTCGACGAATCTCAAGAACGGGAAGAGCAAGAAAGAAAAGGTTGTAAATAAGAGGTTCAAGATTGCCATCAGTGGAGGTTCCTTGATAGGTGTTCTGAGCCAGGGTTTGCTGGAGAGAGATGACGTTCAATGGGGCAAGTGGGATGTGTATTTTGCAGATGAAAGACTGGTTCCATTTGATGATGAGAACTCTAACTATGGTAATGCTAAGCGTCAGATCTTTGACAAGCTGGAAGCGATGGGTAAGGAAATGCCCCAGATTTATCATATCGACGAATCCCTATTGGACGATGCACAGGAATTGGCTGATGACTATGAAAAGACGTTAATCAAGGGGTTCGCCAACAAGGACTCTGTGAGACTACCGCTATTTGACCTGTTCCTGTTGGGATGTGCACCAGATGGACACATTGCTTCAATCTTCCCTAATGACCATGCCGTGCTGAGAGAGAAACTGGCGTGGGTTGTTCCTGTTGAAAACGCACCTTCGGGCCCAAAGAGAAGAATAACGTTAACAGTACCGGTGATTTGTCACTCACACCGTGTAACGTTTGTCGTTGAAGGTGCCGTTAAGGCTTCGATCGTGAAAGTCATCATGGAGAGACCTGAAAAGGGGTTACCGGCAAGTGTCGTGAACGAGTTAGCTGCTGGGAGAGTAACGTGGTTTGTGGATAAGGCTGCGCTAACAGAGACTTACCTTTGATCCAAGATTGATCACAGCTGTTTAATTCGTTGCTTTCCGGTTTAATTTGTACGTTGTTGTTATTGTTGTTGTTGTTATGTTCTGACTTCCCTTTTGTACGTTAATAGCTAGTCTCTCTTCTAAGTAAACGTCTACACATTCCGAGTATGAGGTCTAAAGATATTAGTCAATTAATGATAGCCCAACCAAGCAGTGTTCACTGTTTATGTGTATATATGTGACTGTTACGGTTATCAGTGCTATTACTAAACCTATTAATCGTGATACAGTAACGAGTCCAACGTGTCATGGTAATTACCCGCTTCGTAATGACACGGATCCAGCTGGATGGTTTGAATGGTTAGGAATCCCAAGGTATCACGTGTGTCCTTCAACTCGCGAGCCAAGCTCTTCATGTTCGAATCTATAACGTCAAACTCGAACGAATAACTTGGTATGATACTTGGTCTAAAGATTAGTTTGCGGTTGTTCAGATCGAGGTACAAAGTGTTGAAAGTCAATGAGACAAACTCGCTCCTAGTGATTAACCTCGTGAACGAATGTAGTTCAACGGAGCAATTGGTGTTTACCGCCACGAAGTTGAAATGGCCATTGTCCTCGGCGAATACAACGTTGAAGAGCCTCTCAGCGTTGTCCACCCTTTTGATCTTGTCCCAGTAGTTGATCTTGTTAAGCGCCAAGCGGAAGGAGCTCTTTACGGTCATTTCGTGTCTTGTTTGTGTGGTTTGTTTGCGATGTTGATGATGTTGATGAAGGATGTAAACAAACCTTTCAAGATGCAATGTCTAGAGCGTAATGTCCCGAGAATAATGTCTCCAGCATAATGTCTCGAGCGTGATGTCTCGAGCATGATGTCTCCAGCATAATGTCCCAACATTGTGTCATTTCGCCTTAACGTCCTTTAACTTAATGTCACCCGAACTTTAATGTCCACCAACACAAAATCGCGGACATTTTCAAATCTCCATAAAGCTCTTCAACATGTCGTAACAGAACTTGTACTGATCAACACTCTGAACCATTGAGATTCTCTGTTCCCTCAGCTTGGAAACAACAGCATAGATCATGTCAACAGATTCGTTATCCCAGATCAGATGCGCATGTGAAAGAAGATAGTCCATCGTGATAAAAGTCCCCGTACGGCCAACACCGGCAGAGCAGTGTACAAACATGGGGTTCCCCTTACCGTTGAGTGATCTTGCCAATTGGCTCAGCTCCAATATCGGCTCCCATGCATCTGGTCTCATGGCATCGGTCCACTGGTCAAAGTAGATATGGTGCACCGTTCTCTTGTGCAGTACGTCACCACTGATCGAATCCACAGCGTCCAGTTGTAATTTGGTGTAGTGTATCCCGGCAGGGTCGAATCTGTCCTCATGTTCTAGGCACTTCAGTTGTAAATCGTACTTGAAGCCATCAAGACCCGGTTTGATGTCAAGAGACTCGCCAACGCCGTCGAGCCAATATTTGACACACTTCTTAACCGCCCCCTCTTGTATAGGTGTGACCATCACGATGACAACGTCCGGGTGCTCTGTTTGTTCCACAACCATGTGCCAGAAATGTGGCGTTGTCAGCACAGTGGGTCCCTGGGTGGCGATGTACTCATCTCTGATGCCGCCAAAGTCCAAATGGACATGGGACGCGTTGATATAGTCGCAATGACCCTCGGCAACGTCCAGCTTCACCCTGTTGTAGTCAAAGGGCAGGATGTTGGTATATCTATTGCGCCCATGGTCAAACCCTCTGACCCCGGCTTTCATGGTCCAGTGGGACGACTCGCTTCTGACGATGCCTTCATGCACCCGTTCATCCTCCATGTACTTGATGCGACGGAAGTGGGAATATATGTAGTTGGTCTCTGCCTTGATGTACTCGGGCATTGCGGCTTTGCCATCTTGGCCCTTCTTGTTCAGCGGACTAGAAGACGCTGACGATGTCGAAGACGTGCTAGATTTCTCATCCATGTCCCGCTGTGGTTGCGTAGCTGTGTGATTGTTGTCACCACCACTCTTCTGGGTTGATGAAGAAATTTTCACCTGTAGCCGATGGCCTACACTGCACAGTGAAACAGGTGAAAATGAGCAGATCTGTGTGAACATTTCGCTCTCTGTCCGCCTAAATCTGTACAATTGCACTTATTAGCGAGAATGAATGGATTGGCTTTGGAGATGAACCGGGGAGTGTGAAGGGGCTATAGAAAAGTTTTCTGAGCTTTTATTTTTGTCCCGTCCAGCTTAAACAACGGGGAAAGGCTTCTATCCATTGACAGTACCTGTTGTATCAGTTTTGGTGTGGTTTTGCCCTATTAAGCCTCTCGGAATAAGTGGAACGATTCGCCCTGTACGCGAAGGGAATCTGGACCCTATTTCTCCGTCGTGTTTTGGTATTCTCCCACACTTTTACCCGTTTGAGGAACATGGAGAGCGTGGACACCCAGAGAGAAGCAGGACTTGCCGTTTAGGGCAAGGTGTGCTGGAGTTTGGTGTGTACGGTGTCGGTGTCGGTGTCCCGTGTTGTTCGGCTCTGCTGTCGCGTAGGTCCCAACGTAATGTGTCAAAAAGTTAGGTATGAGGAACTACGCACACACTCCCGGTGATCATAGCACCAAGGCTAGCGGTGCATGGCATTGTGTGTTGTTTAGTCGTAGGCGTTCTCGGATTAAATGTAAGGATGTCTTCTGCGCTCCTTGTCTGTCGCCCTCCACCGCCGTGTGGGTCCTTGATGTTTGCCTTCTGCCTAATGAAGCTTTTCCTGTGTGATGGGCCTCTGTGATGGGCGCCTGTGTGTGCGTGTGTTTTCCTTCCAGCTCTGTTCGGGCACGCGCTGGGGGGAGAGTGCAGAAGGAGCCCGAGGTGGAGTCCCGCCTGAAATAACCCACGCACACCGTCCTTCCCCGGGGAGGGCGCGTGGGTGCGTGGGAGCGTGGGCGTGGGAGCGGGAGGGCATAAGCTGAAATTACACAGACCCCCAGGCAGACACCCAGGCAGACACCCAGGCAGACACCCAGGCAGACACCCAGGCAGACCCCCAGGCAGACCCCCAGGCAGAAACCAGGCCATTGGCTAAAGGGAAAAATTCCCACCCTTTAAACCACCTCCACTGAACGCACACACAGGGAGCTACAAATCGTGTACACCAGGAAACCATTCACCAATGCTATGAGAACGTTAAGAGCACCAAGGATATTCAAGAGAGGCATCACCGACTACGTTACCTTTCCTGCCCTGGGATCTGGCTCGGAGACCAGCGGAAGGAACAAAGGCCAGTTCAAGATCCACATGTTGAAGGCACCATCTCACCTTGGACACTACACGTACCGGATGAATAGGATGTACAACGAAGACCGGTACGCTGTGAGTATACTGAAGTTGCCCATCAAGTATGAGGAGTACGGTATGTCCAAAGATGTGATGCACAACTGTTTTGTCGCCAGTGTTTTTGACGGCCACGGTGGTGATGACTGTGCCAACTTCCTCCAGCACCACTTACACAGCAGGGTCGAGCTTTGGCAAGGGTCGGATGAACAGTCGTTCATGGGCCTGCTGGAGAAGTACTACAAGGATATCGGCGGATACTGGAAAAGAGTGTACAGGAAACGTGCAGAGATCTTCAAAGACCTGGAGCCGACTTCCAAAGAGATTGACGATCTCAGGTTGAGACTGTACCAGACTTACCTACAGGTGGATTACGACTTTATGACTGAACATGACAGATCAGGATCGACCTCCACCTCTGTGTTCATGTATAACTTGGACGTCTTGGACGAACAGGGGATGTACTTTTCCCCTGGAACGGTTTCACGGCTACACGTTGCGCAAGTTGGTGACACCAAATGCATCCTATGTGATCGAAATGGCCAATCACATGCACTGAACTCCATCCACCATCCTTCTTCACCCGCTGAATCGCGTAGATTGAACAAATTCACCGCTGGATTCGCCACTGATTCCTTTGGTGAGAATAGGTTTATGAATTTTGCCAATACCAGGGCGTTTGGTGACTTGATCGCCAAGAGCAAAGGTATCTCTGCAGAGCCTGATATCACCTCGTATATCATTGGTGATGCCACCGCTATAGCGCGTGCTGAGCTCGGTCATGAAACACCAGGAAGCGTTGGTGGTGATGAGTGCTTCCTTGTGCTTGTTTCCGATGGTGTCACGGGATACGCTACGGATCAAGAGATCTGTGATCTGGTTATGTCGACTCATAACGAGCACAATGGAACGCCACAGCGGTGTGCAGAGGAAGTTGTGAAGTACGTTGATGCCATCGGTGGTGATGACAACGCAACGTGTATCGTTATCAAGCTGAGCAATTGGGGCGGGTGGCCTGCGCAGGATCGTACTAAGAGATTGAGAGAGGATAAGCTCAAGGAAGGAATCAGCAAAATGGACATGGATAGGTATGGGTGATTCCACCGAGCATTTGCTAAGAACAGAGGTTTAGCGCCATAGATATTTATTACTTGACAAAGACAGAGGATGTATATGCATATGTCTCTTTATAATATATAAGCTACAGTTGAAGTCCACTGTATGTACATGTCATTGGAAATATATCCCACCCTTCTGCTCGAGAAATGATATATATATATATATATAAGAGCACTCTCATTTGTTCTTGGTCTGTGTGTAACTGAATCTCTTTCTCGTTGGTGCAAATTCTCCCAGCTTGCTACCAACCATGTCGTCTGTAACCTCGAATGCCACGTACTCCTTACCGTTATGGACCTGGAACTTCACTCCTACAAACTGCGGTAATATTGTGCAACTTCTGGCGTTGGTTCTGATTGGAGTATTGGACTTGATGGCATGTGCAATGGGCAGAGGCACAACGTGTGGGCCTTCGTTCATCAGCTGTTAGTGGAAAGCTCGCGGTCTACGGCTAAATCAAATGGAAACATACCCTTCCAGGCAGAGCGTCCTTTCAACAGCACTGGGGAGATTCTCATTTTGCTTCGATGTGTCTGTTTTGATGTGTGTGTGTGTGTCTCTGTGGTTTGTCCTAAGCGCTACAACTTCAACAAAGTTTCGATGTGTAGAAAAAAACCGGAAAAAAAAACAGAAAGAAAAGCCTTCGAAAATTTACATAAACAGTAATTTCCCTTTAGGGAAATGCTCGTGGAGGATGGGTAGGATTGGGTGGGATTTTGCTGTTCCGGGAAACACCGAGCAAAGAAGCACTACGCTCGGGCTATGGAAACCATACTTAGCCTATCGCAGTTATTCAATACCAACGCAATCATTCGAAGGACTACAAGGGTAGTGGAAGCCCGAAAAGCATGGCCATAAATAATAAACACAAGAGAGTTGAAAGCTAGTAGTAGCACCAGTGGAAGCACTGGTAGCACTGGTAGCACCGGTAGCAGCGCAATGCGATGATCCGCCATATCCTAACCAGTAGAAGCGAAACACCATAAGAGAGAAAAAACAAACCAGTTAAATGTAGGAAAAACACAGCCGAACCAATGTTCTTCTGATCCCAGATCCTCCGCGGCCACACTGGGGAGAGAAGAGCCCAAAGATTTTCCATAAAGAATTATATCGAATGCATTGATGGTCAACCATTCACATATGCTAATGAGTTATCGCGGTTTGATGACGTAAACGATCAAGAATGGTGCAACGAGAACCCGGAAGCCTTCAAGACCGATTTGTTCTCCTTGGACTTAGTGCTCAACTGATACAGTGAGTAAGCCGCAAGCGAAGCAGTGGCAACGCCGGCGAATACGACAGATTTTGGAGCTTTTGAGAAGAGCATTGTTCGTTATTGTTATTGATCTAGTTTGGAATGATTAGATGGCACAACGGTTATCAGGGGAAAGGGGGGAAGAAGAGAGATGGGCAGAGTTGCCTCTTTATATAAATGCGTGTTTTTGTATAGAATCCCCCCACACACGCACAGCTTCGGGATCAAACGATATTTTCCTGCCCCTTGTGCTTACTTTGAGGTTTGACAGCACAGCTCTGGCAAAAAGGTTCCGAAGGCTCTTTTTGCCCTAATTCTGCACCGCAACGTACGGGGGTTTTTTCACCGTGGGAAATTTGGGGAATCGGATGCTTTTTTGCGTAGGCTTTCTCATGCACCCCGGGATTTTTTTATTATCGGTGGCTTTTTTCCTCTGGCTCCCTCGGTCTTTGGGCCTTTAAGCTTGAAAAACTATGGCATTTCGATGGGTTTTCATTGTAATATTCGTTGTAGTGGGAGAGAATCCTTCAACCACGGGTGTGCAAGGCATAGAAGAGCAATATCAAACAACACACCGGGATTTAGAACTCACTCACTCGCTGCTGCGTCCTTATTGGCTGGAATTGAGCTGCCAACGTATGACTTAATATTACAGTCTGGTGCTACTTTTGAGCTGTGTGCATGATGTTGCCCGGTGCCGAATTGCAGCGATTGCTTTTTCTGCAATTCGGCGTCGAGCGGTATTGCTTATGTAATGTTTATGTAATCACGGGGTGTTTGGATGTTTCCAAGTCACATTTTTTCATCCTCGGTTTGGCGAAGAGATGAGATGCGATGAGGTGGTGAAGGGTATTAGCCATAGCGATAGCTTTCCAGTGTGACCATGTTTGCTGCGCGGTTTGATCCTTCTGCGGTTATTAGTGAAGATAAGCCCGTTGTGCCGCTGAAGAGGAGGGTGGAGGAAGTTGAGAGCGATGGTGAGAGTGATGGTGAGAGTGATGGTGGCAGCGATGGTGGAAGCGATGGTGGAAGCGATGGTGAGAGCGATGGTGATGATTCAAGTGATAATTCCAGCGACGAGTCCAGTGACGCTTCTAGTGGCTCCGCCGATGATGAACATGCTACCCACGATCCCAACAATGACAATGACGTTGAAATGATTGACGTCCAAGAACATAATCCAAAGTTCTCTTCAATCCTGTCTCGTTTCAACCAATCCATTCACCAGTCCCATGAGCTTGAAAATACTGAAGAACAAGAGGCAGAGGTTATCCATGAGGAGGTAGAACAGCATGCCATTGTGCCACTGCCTCAACCAGCATTACCAAGGGACCATAGACTCACAGCGGCCCAAAGGTCAAACAACTTGAACTGGCTAGCACAGCCACTTCTCATCAAGACTACAGAGCTAAAACCGTTCGAAGAGTTTGACATTTCACCTCAAATCTTGAAGAATTTACATTCTATGGGTTTCAACAAGGCATTTGCGTCGCAAATAAAGACTTTGGAACTATTGCTGCCTGAGATTAACAACAAGTTGAACCCTGACGCCATTAGGGGTGATGTGTTGGTGAATGCATCAACAGGTTCAGGTAAAACACTGGCGTATACAATCCCAGTGATCCAGTCATTGATGAATAGAGTCGTTCCAAGGGTAAGATGTATAATCTTGGTGCCAACCAGACCTTTGATTAATCAAGTTTTCAAGACTCTGATTGAGGTGTCCAAGGGTATTGACCTGAATATTGTCACATTGGGAAAAAGTGACGTGTCGTTACGTGAAGAATCTCGTAAGTTGATCCAGTATGTCCCAGACATCGTTGTGACTACACCTGGTAGATTGGTGGATCATTTAAACATGGAAAGTTTCAAGCTGGATGATCTACAGTGGTGTGTTATCGATGAAGCTGATAAACTACTGAACCAGAGCTTCCAGGATTGGTCAAATGTGCTAATCTCCAAATTGCAGGATCCAAATGGTGGTAACTTAAGCAAGAGGTTTAAAAGGCCGTTGACAAAGATGATCTTCTCTGCAACACTAACCACGGATGCTGGTAAACTATCAGCGTTGCAATTCAGAAGCCCACGGCTAATCCTTGTGAACAATGAAGACAGTATTCTCCAATCCGATAAGATCTTTACATTGCCTTCAACACTGAAGGAGCACTACACCAAATTCAGCTCGTCGAACGCTTCTTACAAACCACTCATCCTTCTCAAGCTCCTTCAATCGTTTGCATCCAACCACACGCTGGTATTCACCAAGTCCAACGATGCAACTTTACGTCTCTCTACGTTGTTGAAGAATTTGACCTCAAGCCTATGTCCAGAGATTGTTGTTAACAACATCAATTCTCAACTGAATAGCTCCACAAGAGCTAAGTTGCTCTCACAGTTTGAACAGGGCACAATCTCTGTTCTTGTCGCTACTGATCTCATCGCTAGAGGTTTGGACCTGAAGACCATCAGAAACGTTGTGAATTACGATCTGCCACCTTCCTCGCGTGAATACGTTCACAGAGTTGGAAGAACTGCAAGAGCAGGTGATTCTGGTGATGCCTATACCATCGTTGTCGGCCGTGGTGAAGGACAGTTCTTCGAACGTATTGGACGTGATATCAACAGACCAACCCCGGTAGAATCCATCACCTTGCAAGATATCAGTGAAAAGGAGAAGGAAATCTACCAAGGTGCATTGAACGAATTACAACAAGCGTTTAAAAGATAGAATACAGAGTTGTGGTTCAATGTATATAAAGTATGCTGGTTAGAATAAATAAAGGGGGTGGATTTGGTAATAAATAAATAGTAACTTCCGAGATCGACAGCTCGTAAAAGTTCTGTTCTGCCTCGGACAGCGTAGCACACAGCACGTTTACACAGCATGTGGGTTGTTGATGATCAACTCTGTGGCGTCTTTGAAGGTTCTAATCTTGTCAGCCTCCTCGTCTGGGATACCAATGCTGAACTCTTCCTCAATGGCCATCACAACTTCAACAATGTCCAGCGAGTCCAGCCCCAAGTCACGCGAGAAGTCCGTCTCCGGGCCGATCTTCACGCTCTTGTTGACCTTGTCATAGCCTTCCAGGATCTCAAGGATTCTCTCCTCAACCAGCTCCTGTGTTAGTGGTGGGGCGTGGGAGTAACAACGGGCAGAGAACTGGAACGGCAAACGCTGTTGTTGTGTCTGTGCCAAAGCCCACGCAGACTTGGTGACGATTGGACTTGGTCTAATGGCCTTAACAGCGCTAAAGTTCTTCAATGCGAGTCTGAACATCTTTCTTTGGGCTCCTTCTAAAGTGGTTGTTGTTGTTTTTGCGGTGGTGGTCGTGGTGGTGGTGGTGGTGGTAGTTTTTCAGTGATGAACACTTTTTTGGCTTTGGCTCGACGGGGGGGAATCCGCGCTGCCGCGGCCCCCCTGAAATTCTTCCCCGGAGCGTGTGGTGTATGGATGTTTGGGTGTCCAGGTGTTGGTGTATGGGTTTGCTGGTGTCCGGGTTTATCACCGTTCCGTTTTCGACTGGACGCTCCCGGGAGCGTTTTACAAAAAAATCCTTCGAGCGCAATAGGCACGGCCCACAGAGGAGAACAACAACCGCAGCGCTAGGTCGAAAGGTTGAGAGAAGAGATGTTCAGAAACGTATTCAAGACCCTTTTGGGCGGGTCGTCGACGACGACTTCCATGCTCCGCAGCGGGATCCCACAACGCTCATCGTATTCGAACTTCCAGTCAGTGTTCTCCCAACTGTCAAGCTCGACGCAGAAGGTGTCCCAGAGGTTTGCCACGATCAACCAGATCAAGCGTGGTATGACCAAGCCTTTGAACAAGCGTCCGGTCAAGTCTCCGGATCTGGACACCTGTCCTGTCCGTAGAGGCGTTGTTCTCCGTGTGATGGTGCTTAAGCCAAAGAAGCCAAACTCAGCGTTGAGAAAGGCTGCAAGAGTTCGTCTCACAAACGGTAAGGTCATCAGTGCGTATATCCCAGGTGAAGGCCACAATGCCCAGGAGCACAGTGTTGTGCTGGTCAGGGGTGGAAGATGTCAGGATGTTCCTGGTGTTAAGTACAGATGTGTTCGTGGTGCTATGGATCTAAGTGGAGTTGCCAACAGAACAACCTCCAGAAGTAAATACGGTGCTAAGAAACCACAAAAGGAGTGATATATATAACTTCAGCAATACATGTACATAACTATTCTGTTGTCTAACGTTCCTGGAAACGTCTTCCAGTTGCAGTCTTTCTCTCAACGGCCTCATCGTTCTCAGGTTTGGCTCTGTTCAACACCTTCAAGTACTGGTTCACTCTGAATCTCATTCTCGAATGCATGTACGCCTTTGAGCATTTGATATGGTAATGGAAGTAGCTTCTGAACAGCTGGATATGGGAGATGGTGTTGTCTCTCTTCTGTGGAACCAAATGTCTTGGGAAAAGAACAAAAGTGATGTAACCCTTCTTCTCATCAGGGCTGTACTTGATCATGTCTCGAACTTCCAAAGGAGGCTCCTTGTGAGAGTACAACACCTGTGGTGCATTTTGGACGGCTCTTCTTCTCGCGTCAACAAACTCTTGTAGGAACACTTTGCCAAAGATCTTGTCAGTTTCATCCTTGAAGACGGTTGAGAAGATCACAGTGACTCTATCAAAGGAAGGCTGTATATAGATAGCCTCCTCGTCTCTGTAATTGATCTCGTAAACAGAGGAGCGTGTCTCCGGTTCAACGCCAGTCTCCTGGTGCTTAGCACTGAGTCTCTCGTACTCTTCAAAGGCGGCGTCGAAAGGCGCTGCCAACATGTTTCTCTTCAACAGTGAGATCGATTCAATAACCTCATTTTGAGCCTCCAACCCAGAGATTGACCCGAGATCCAAGTATAGGGAGAAGTCATAGCCCGGCTCAATTGTAGGGGACTCGTACGCAGCATACACCGACTTCAGCTTCTCCAACGCGCCGTATTTGGCGCAGTCCTTGAAGGCCTTACTCTGTATCGAGATGAGCAGCTTGGTCTTTTCTTCAGGCGTGGAAATGTGATAAGTTGTATAGTCAAAGTCGGACACGATTCTGTCCACCGCAGTTGGGGACTCGAATAGCTCCTCCAAAGTCTTCTTGATGAGCAAATTGTCCGATGGGATCTGTAACATTCTCCGTCTCTCTTCAATGGGAATTGAATAACTGTGATTCCTCTCACTTGTAGGGGGGTGTTTCGTGGATGTGTGCAGTTTTAGGACAGGGAACAACCCGAGAGAACCCGTTAGGGGGAACAAAGAGGTGTAGGGGGGAAAGCAAATACGAGGGCAGTCACGTGCGGTATTTGTCCCCGGGTCTCACGTAACGTCGACTTTGGAAAAAAACTGGACACAGACAAATTGAACATTAAGTGATAAACAAACAAGGGGACAAAGAAGACATTAAAACAACTCGGTGGACATTTCTTGAAGTGGGGACAAATCGAAACAGACAAATCCGCCACCTACAAAAAGTTCTCCTGGAAACAAAATGTCCCGTAATAAAGAGGTGCTCAACTTTGAGGACACCTATGCCGGTATCTCTGATGAAGAAGAGGATGCCTTCAACGATGAGACTTTTGGCACAGGTGTTGCCGTTGGGTCTGACTTCAACTTTGGGGGAGACTCTTCAGCCTCAACGAAAAGTAGTGGGTTGCACTATGCCCAAGTTGCTGGTTCTCACAAGGCCAATGTTGCCTATAATGACGATCAATTGAAGCCAATTGAGGGTCTTTGGGGCCAAGGTAGTAAAGATGCTATCTCTGCCGACGAATTGGAGGCTAAGCTTCAGAGCTCTGTTGCACAGGCTCAGCAGCAGACTCAGCAACAAACTGAGCAGCAGCAACAGGCTCAGCAATTCCCAGGTGGCTATCCTCCACTAAACATGGGTTATAACTTTCTCCCACCTGGATTCATCCCTCCGCAAGGCTATGGCCAATTTGCAGTTCCTCCACCTCAGCAGTTCCAACAGTTTCAACAGTTCCCTCCAATGGATCAACTGATGATTCAGCAGGGCCAATTCCCTCCTCAAGGTGTCAATGTCAATGCAGGGCAAGGTATTCCACAGGCTGGTCCTCAGGGACAGTTCCAACCACCTCCAGGGTTCCAACAGTTGGCTCCACAGCCTGTTCAAGGTCAGGGACAAGCTCAAGGACAAGCTCCTCAACAGTTGCAGGAACCAGCTCCTCAGGAAACCCAGCCTCAACTTTCTGGTTCCCAACAAGGTGGTACTAAGGTCGATCTCTCTGACTTCCCAGTTCTCGGCTCCAATGAGAAACGTGTTCAAAGCCAAGGACATCAGCACCAGCGTCAGCAGCAACAGAACCAAGGTCAAAACCAGAGATCTTACCGTCAACGTCACCATCACCATGATAACTTTGACGAATTGCCGGAGGAGGAGAAACAACGTATCATTAAACGTCAACAAAAGGTCCACCGTATCACACAGTTCTGTGGTATTATGACTCCTCGTGATAAAGATTTCGTCAGTCGTGTTCAACTGTCACAAATTGTGACGGATGATCCTTACATTGACGATTTCTACTTCCAAGTCCATCGTCTTTTGAAAACTGGAAACGCTGAAGTTGATAACAACAGCGTTGCACAGTCATACCTGGATCTCTCTGGTCACAGGCTAGGAGGACGTGATCAAAGAGCCGAAGTTGCACTCCAAAGAATGCAACAGCAGGTTCAAAAGGCCGTGAGCTATGTTAAGGAACGTGCAAAAAATCACCCTGCTAACGGTGGTAGAGGTAATGCATTGGGAAAGACTAGCACCTTGGGTAAGACTCCAAGAAAGCAGCTAGAAATCACACTCAAATCAGACGTTCCTGTTTCAACAAAGAGTGGAAGAAAGTCAATCCTACTCCAGATTGAAAACATCTACCAGAAGGTGTTGGAGTTGGAGAGTGCGCAGAGAGAGAATAAGCCACTGGATGTTGAAGGACTTTGGGAATCTTTGAAACTGTTTGAAGAGTCTGATAATATGAACTTCTTCATCCAGATCCTCTCCTTTGAAAAGGGCCTGAAAATCTTCCCAAGAATCTATGGGTTCTTGGATAGACAACAGAAGTTGACAATTATCACATTAATATTTGCAAATTTGTCCTTGATCAAAGTTGTTGCTGAATCCTCTTTCAAGAACCATAAGGATGATCAGATCCCTGCTAAGGTTCAAAGAACCATTGAGCTCTTCCAACACGTTGTCCTCAAGACCATCATGGTGTTTTTATCCTATGACACTGCCATTACTGAGATCATTGGTCTCTTAACCATTTTAATCGAACATAACAATGTTGCCTTCTTGGCCACGTCCAAACTAGGTACTTCATTGATTACGATTCTACTTTCAAGAGGTGAAATTATTAAGCAAGAGCAGAACGTTTCCTCTGAAGATTTGAAAGATTGGTCCAACGCTTATGATAAGTTGTTCTCATCCTTAGAGACCAAGCTTTCCCTGTTGTTCCCTTCAAAGAGCTCAAACTACGACGACTCTTACATTTGGCAATTCTTTGCCTCGTTGGCATTGAGTGGTAAATTGAACCATCAGAGAATCATCGTCGATGAGATTAGAGATGAAATCTTTGGTTCTCTCGCAAAGGCGAAGGAGAGCGACGACGCGACAAAGATGATGATCATCTCCAACTTGAACTTGTTCTTGAACGTGATTGGATTAACTGCCAAAGGTGATGAAATTGTCGAATTGAAAGAAGCTTGAAGGTGTTATAGTTTACAGTTGTTAGTTTTGTTAATCCAATCTCTTTTTCTCTCATTATCAGTGGCAGCTCCAGTAATCGGCATGTGGGTCCACTGAGCTGCCTCATACTTCTTCCTATGGCTTATTTTGCCGTAGTTAAAGCTTCCTCTTCGGTATTTCTTGAAACGGTGTAAGTGTTTGAGTCTAGGGTACTTCCTATATGGGTATGTTGTGGTGTTTGGATGTTTTATGACACATCATGATTATACAAGCTACTTGAAGCAAGAGTTTAGCTACTTGCTGCTGAAGCCGGATCCTAATGACTATCTACGAATGTATACCACATAGAATAATATCATATATCACTTAAAAATAATGTTATATAATTCAAACTGTTGAACCGAAGTATGTATTACCTCAGATACCAGTCAAGCACAATCTACGGCAACCACCACAAGATCTACACTCCTCTTGGTGAGCAGCCATCAATGCTTGAGCCTTCAGTGGGTCCTCAACCTCCTTTGGTTCTTCCCAAGAAAGGTACTCGTTGGAATAGTTTGGCTGGTAATCCTTTGGAAGGATCTCCAATCTCTTACCATAAGCCGTGACCTTTCTCCAATCCCTGTGGACGTTGTAAAGGGACTCGGAGAAGTAAGCAAAGCATCTCTCAAACTTCTTGGTGTTGATAGCGGTCTTCATTTGAGGTTTGAAGTCACAGTACTCATTCCAAGCATCCTTAGGATTCTCCAAGAAGTAGTCTGTGGCCTTCTTGATGGCGTTGAGGAACTTTCTAACCTTTTCTGGGTTAGCAGCCAAGAACTCGTCATTGGCAATGTACAGAATTGTACAGAAACAACAACAACCCAACTCGGCCAACTTGTCGATTCTCAACATTTGAGCATCTTCTTTTGGTCTACCTTGTGCCTTGAGGTATTCTTCCAACTCAACTTGTTGAATACATTCGATACCGACACCAGCATCAATCTTACCCTCAATGATGTATTTGGCAACGTTCATACCACATCTAACTGCGGTGTAATCATCTGGAGTCATACCATAGTGCTTAGTCAATTCATCGATCTGGATCTTACCAAATTCACCAACATAACCAATCTTTTTACCCTTTAAGGATTTAAAGTCTGGAGTGATACCTGAACCTTTGAGGTAGAGAACACCAGTGAACGGCTCATCCAAGAGAGAACCAACAGACGTAACCGGATAACCTCTGGCCTTTGCAGCCAATGTATGGATCATAGCCTTAAGACCCATATCAATTTTGCCAGTTCCAATAAGTTCAGTAACTTCGGAGGGGTTGGATGGCTCCAAAATGGCAACCCTAATGCCCTGTTCCTTGAAGTAACCTCTTGTTTGAGCAAGGTAGATTGGGATGTGGTAAGCTGTTGGCTCCCAGTTAAGAAGGAAAGTGATTAAATCTGAGGACATTGTTGAGGTCTTTGTATTGATTGAATATAGTGAAAGATGGAACACATTGAGCGAGTAAAGTAGGCTTCTAATGGTGGGTTTATATACACTTTACAATCTCATCAGCTGAGCATAGGGGTAAGTAGCACTTCAACTTCTAAGTGCATGCTTCACTACACAACTTACCCCTTAAAGGCACCCATCCCCAAAGCTGTCTTAACATTCAAGTATTACAACACCGCATGAAAAGAGATTCCTTATAAGAGTTTGAAGTAGACAGGTTGAGTAAACCATTTCTTTATGCGCATTGGATTTTTATATGCAGATATATTGCATGTTCGGTTCAAGCTTGACTATCAATACCACATCAATTCACAACAGATCAGGGGTATTGTTGCATGTATAATGAGGTGTTTGTAAATATGCAATTATACGATATAGTAGCTGAGGACGTGTCAAAAGTCTGAGGAACAAGTGTTGAATGAGACGTGCTTATGCATGTAAGTGCATTGTTGAGGATTAACGTGCAACCAGGCGATTCAATTTCCAACAATATTCAGGCTTAGAAGAACGTTTCCATTCATGAAATCCCACTTTTGGATATTTCGGAGTTCTCTCTATTGCATAGTACCAATAAGGTGCCAATTTAATGTTTTACTCATCAGGTTGAACCATAGTGTCTCGGTAAAGCGAACGCGATTGGGACCTTCGCTAACGCATTGGTAAAATTTCGAATCACCGCTACCTTCGCAATCAACTTGCGCTGCACGGCCCGTCGGGTATAGACTTTAATGCCTTGTCCCTCCTTTAATAGGATGATGATTTTGAAACTAATGGAATCAACGCCTAAGCAGTTTCCTGAAACTGTAGCGTACGAATTCGTATATGTAGCCGCATGCGCTTGTATGATGTGGGTATGTTAGAATGATAGTAATCTGTGTAGTGTTGGTATGGAAAAGATTTGTCTCGTCCTCTATTAATGGCTGGTCGATTTTTCAAACACTTTATTGCTGATGGAACCTGGATTTATGTGCCAATGCTGTAATATCCGGGTTGTCTTGAGTTGGTACTGTAGCCTTGAGCTACTGGTCAACAACTTCTGTTGCTATTCCACCATCTTCGGGGTCGAAGCCTATAACGCAATGAATGTGTGGCAATCCTCTCTTTTGGAACTCTGTAATGTAAACAATCTTGACAACTTTCCTCTTGAACACTATTGGGAAGTATTCTATAAGATCTCAGACTCATTGGTCTAAAAAGTTGGCACTAAGTCGTGATTCTTTTTGTTGGAGAACTCTTGTGGAATCAAATTGTACAACAATGGTATCTTTGGATTTGCGGTAAATGTTAGGAACATTGAAGGTGCATCATCTTGAGTGAATATGGTCATCAGATCTTGGAATTTGGCTTTGAAGTATCGAGCAGTTCCGAAATGGTTTGGCGGTGTAATTGTTGGGTATGAGCTCTCTTCAACTTCCTGTTGTGCTCCTCCATGGCGTACATCGACCATTCTACTTTTGTGTTGTTGAAGACGATAATAATCCATACTTTGTTGATCAATCATTATAGCAGTTGTCAGGTAGAATTCTACAGAGATTATCCAGCATATTCACTGGGTTTTATTCATTGTGTCTTCCTCGAATATGGGAGCTACACCATTGAGGTTGTGAAATTGCTCCCTTTGAGAAACTTCCATCCTCTCTAGACAATTTAAGCCGGGTCACCAACCATCTTCATCGTATAAGAACAAATGAGGGACTCTCATGGGTAAGAAAACATTTGCACAGACTGTTGATAAAAGTAAAGCCACCCGTAGGTCTTTCCTTTATACGTACTGAAATTGAAGTATGCTCTGCTGTTATACTTCTGCGCACCAAGGCAAACTCTTTAACCTCTGGTAATAAAGAAGTACGATGTTCTGGATTTGTTGGTGTTGTTGGTTCAATATATTGGTACATTCAACAACAATCTCCTCTCTTGTTAATCCCATCTCTGTAATCTCCTGTTGAACAATTTCTCTAGCGGTATATAACAGCTGTGCATAAAGATTGTGTTGAGAGAGAAATTCACCAATCTTCCTAGTGTAGCCCTCAAGTTTGTTAGATTCTTCGTTGTCTTGAAGAATACCTCTAAGCAATTCAAGATAGCGATTTGTAGTTAAGCCTGGATCTAGCATATAAGCCTCTGCAAATTTCTCTTGACCATTTTCTTGAGCTATCATACCATCAACTCTATAGAATAAACGCCCATTGATAGTTGTTGAATAAGTGCCACCCCTTGAATCACGAGTACTCATTGTTCGAGAATATTTGGACGTGATTGGATCCAATGAGACATCCTTCATGTGCTGTGGAGACTGTTTGTATATCTCTTTGTTCGAGTATTAGCTACAGTTTTGGTACACTTTGGGGAAATTTGAAGACCGGCTTGCTAATTTTATTCGTATCATTCTAGTAATATAAAAAGGGTTTGGCCGTGGGTAATCAATCCATTTATATAATCATATACTGTTGATAGTTTCATATAAGACGGCATTTCTCTCCATTGAGTCTTGATCTTAAGTTGTAGAAGAAGTGGAGTACTGCAATGCGAAGGCTCAGGGTTCAAAGTTGAAGTTCCCTCCTCGCATTCTTCCTGTCGTTCAATATATCGGCAAAGCCTCTGAGTTAACATAAGCTCCTACCCCTTACACTATCGATCTGTGAACTAAGTAACACTACTAGCATATATCAACAAATATCATAGTTGTGCATCCTCCATTGTATAACATGCGTACAATACATTCACCATCTTGAATCTTCCTCTTGAGTTATGAGCCCCGAGACGGAAATATACCACATCCAGACACCCATTCATCCTTACACCACGTACACTTCGCCATACTGTTCATTACAATGCAATACACACCAACTTTTGAAACTCACAAAGGCTTTTACATATATGAAAGAGTATAATCTTTTTAATAAATGTGAAGTTTACATATAAGAAATAGCCAACATGTTTAATTGAGGAGATCTCCAGCGGATTTATTTCAGAAAAGGTGAGTCCATTTTATATAAGAACTTTTAATATAGAAGTACAAACCAATTACTCACCATCATATACATTGTTACTAAAGGAAAAAAAGCGGAATCAAGCTCTAAAATTGACTAAATCAATCAGTTGATTGATATATGTTGGATGACCAAGGTACACCACCAATTCTGGATTGTCATGACAACTGTAGCAACCAACAACCACACCCACCAACCACCACAGATACCGGTGTCTGGATGTTTTCAGGAGGCACAATTGCGAGTTTGATTACATAATACAGATGTGTCCCGGTGTCTTGAAACACCCTTCCCAGCTGCGGAGGGCGAGTGGGTGGAACATGCGAGAGGTGCACCATTCTCCCAACCCCAATCAAAGATCTACTTTTAGTCACCAACTCTACGACACCAACAATACGAAAAATAGGCACGGTCGATAAGCATTGCATGATAATCGGCAAAAGTTCCCCATGCGACGTGCAACCTGACCAACAATACAACCACCCCCTATTGCAGGCCACGGCCTTCATCTCTTTCAGAACCCTAAAACACAAGACAAAAATGCGATCACCCTCCCTTTCCACTCCTTTGAGTGAATGACTCGCAAGAGTCCTTAGCCGTGACGGCCAGTTACTTTCTCACAGAGTGCCTCCTCGTTCATAAGGAGAGTGGGACCAATTCAACGGTGCCATATCGGAACAGTACAAAACTCTATTCACGGACCAACCACAACGGTAACCAGGGTTCAGCAGACGCGGGCTGCGACGTGGCCGGCGCACAACATCCAGACACCAGCATCACACGCTGTGTGCGCTGTGTGCGCTCAATTACCGATTAGGAAATATTCCGCACCAACTATGAATCACGTTGCCTGGTTCTTCCCCACATCCAGAAGGTTCGAGCAGGGCATTCACCGAGCACGGGAAAGGGCGTCTCCAAAATGGGATGACGACTCTCCTGTGTCTGTTGCATTGAGACGAGCTAGTGAAGTCGTATCACTTTGGCGTGGTACGTGTATGGTTACCAAGTTAGGACGAGGTGAACGTGCGAGGGAGTGAGCGAGGGAGTGGCCTCTTATGGTCACGACTATAAATTTAAGTTGGAAAGGGTATATAAAGGGTTAAATGCCCGCTCCCAATTATGAGCCAATTCTCCTCTGTTGATATAGCCTCCACTTCACTTCACTTCACTGCTGGGTCTTTGAAGAGGGAAAAATATATCTGGCATCGAAAAACTTTTCCATCCTTTCGCCAATGTTCAAGAGAAACTTCCACACATCCTTGAAGACCATGTCCGCCATTGTCACCGAGAACACCAGACCTGAGCCAGATAAGGTGCTCAAGGACATTGCCACATACATCCACAACTACAACATTGACTCCAAGTTGGCCGTGGACACCGCCAGACTCTGCTTCTTGGACACGCTCGGTTGTGGGTTGGCTGCATTGAAGTACGAGGAGCCAAAGAGAATCATCGGTCCTGTTGTTCCAGGCACAGTGGTTCCAAACGGTACTAAGGTTATTGGTACATCTCACCAATTGGACCCGGTCCGTGGTGCTTGGGCCATTGGTACCATCATCAGATGGTTGGATTACAACGATTGTTGGTTGGCTGCTGAATGGGGTCATCCATCCGACAACATGGGTGGTATCCTTGCCGTTGCCGACCACTTGACCAGAGTTGCCAAGGCTACAGGCCAAGGCAAGGTGTTCAAAGTTAAGGACGTTCTGGAAGGTATGATCAAGGCCCATGAAATCCAAGGTTGTATTGCCCTTGAGAACTCTTTCAACAAGGTTGGTTTGGACCACGTTCTCCTCGTCAAGGTTGCTACCACTGCGGTTGTCTCCAAGATGCTCGGTTTGAACTATGACCAAACCATCGATGCCCTCTCCCAAGCCTTTGTCGATGGTCAAGCCTTGAGAACTTACAGACACGCTCCAAACACCATGTCAAGAAAGTCTTGGGCTGCTGGTGATGCCGTCTCAAGAGCCGTCAACTTGGCTTACCACGTTAAGAACGGTGAGTCCGGTATGCCATCTGTCTTGACTGCTAAGACCTGGGGTTTCTACGATGTTTTGTTCAAGGGCAGACAATTCGAGTTCCAAAGACCATACGGTTCTTATGTCATGGAGAACGTTTTGTTCAAGATCTCCTTCCCAGCTGAGTTCCACGCTCAAACTGCTGTTGAGGCTGCATTGACATGCCAGCAAAAGTTGGCATCCTTGGGCAAGTCTTACAAGGATATCAAGTCCATCCGTATCAGAACCCAGGAGGCTGCTATGAGAATCATTGACAAGAACGGTCCACTTTACAACTACGCTGACAGAGACCACTGTATCCAATACATGGTTGCTATCCCATTGATCTACGGCCGTTTGACCGCAGATGACTACAGTGATGCCATTGCTTCTAACCCAGACATTGATGCTTTGAGAGAAAAGATGTACTGTGTTGAAGATGAGCAATTCACCGTTGACTACCACGCACCAGACAAGAGATACATTGGTAACGCTTTGCAAATCGAGTTGAACGATGGTACCGTTTTGGACGAAGTTGTTGTTGAGTTCCCAATCGGTCACAGAAAGAGAAGAGAGGAAGGTAAGCCAGTGTTGTTGGCCAAGTTTGAGAGACACGTTAAGGAGCACTTCCAAGACAAGGCTCAGGCTGAGAAGATCTTGGAGGCCAGTGCCTCTGCTGACTTGGACAACATGGATGTTGACGAGTACGTTGACTTGTACGCCGTTAAGAACTAAGTCCTCTGAAGCTTGTATTTATTGATGCACTAAAATGAAACAATTGATATTCAGTCTTTATGTTTAATTGTAGGTGTGGGAGCTGTTGCAACTGTAGCTGTGTGATCGTAGTTGAATGTACGGAATTATGTTAGGTGGTATGGCACATTCAAAGCCAAACAACAACATCAGACCTGTCAAATCTCGTCAGAGAACGTAATTCCAATGGGTCTCACAATGGCTTACACAAGGGGTCTCACAATGGGCTGTAATTGATACACACATTCTATGCACTACTAAACGTTCATCGGTATGTCAATCTCATCAGTACTCTCACCTACCGAACTCCAAAATATGAAAGTTTCATAACAAGGCAACTTGGCCGAGTGGTTAAGGCGAAAGATTAGAAATCTTTTGGGTTTACCCGCGCAGGTTCGAATCCTGCAGTTGTCGTCATTTTATTTTTTGGCCTTAGTTCCTAGAAAACATCCAGACACCACAAACATCCAATTCGATACCTCGAAAACTCCACCAAAGTGGCGAAACGGATAAACAAACCAATCAACAACTCATTTGACACGGGCGGTTCACCTTGGCGAGAACAGAACAGTTGAAATAGCAGTAAAACACACAATGTCAACACTCGAAGAAGTTGCAGACCAAGAAGTGGACTCATTGGACGAGGAGATTCTCAGTTTAACCACTGATGACATCTCAACACGTACAAGGCTATTGGAGAACGATATCAAGGTGATGAAGTCTGAAGTACAGAGACTGTCTCACGATAAGCAGGTGATGCTGGAGAAGATCAAGGACAACAAGGAGAAGATTGACAACAATAAGCAGTTGCCGTACCTTGTTGGAAACGTTGTTGAGCTGTTGGATGTTGAAGCTGGCGAAGAGGCGAAGGAGCAAGGTGCCAACATTGATTTGAACGCCACGAGGGTTGGTAAATCTGCTGTGATCAAGACATCAACGAGACAGACCGTCTTTCTGCCGCTCATAGGCCTCGTTGACCCTGAAACGCTCAAACCGAACGATTTGGTTGGTGTTAATAAGGACTCATACCTCGTTTTGGACACGCTACCTGCCGAGTACGATTCGAGGGTTAAGACGATGGAAGTTGATGAGAAACCACAAGAAACATACTCAGATATTGGTGGATTGGATAAGCAGATTGAAGAATTGGTGGAAGCGATTGTCTTGCCGATGAAACAAGCTGAAAAGTTCAAAAAATTGGGTATAAAGGCACCAAAGGGTGCGTTGATGTATGGACCTCCAGGTACAGGAAAGACGTTGTTGGCCCGTGCGTGTGCTGCCCAGTCAGACGCAACTTTCTTGAAGTTGGCTGCTCCACAGTTGGTGCAAATGTTCATCGGTGACGGTGCCAAGTTGATCCGCGATGCGTTTGCATTGGCAAAAGAAAAGGCACCAACCATCATCTTCATTGATGAGTTAGATGCCATTGGTACAAAGAGATTTGACTCTGAAAAGTCTGGTGATAGAGAGGTCCAGAGAACAATGTTGGAGTTGCTCAATCAGTTGGACGGTTTTGGTTCCGACGACCGTGTTAAAGTGTTGGCAGCGACAAATAGAGTTGACGTTTTGGACCCAGCCTTGTTAAGATCCGGTAGATTGGATAGAAAGATTGAATTCCCGCTGCCTTCAGAGGAGGCGAGAGCTTCTATCCTGCAGATTCATTCTAGAAAGATGACCGTTGACGGTTCAATCAACTGGCAAGAGTTGGCCAGATCGACAGATGAGTTCAACGGTGCCCAATTGAAAGCCGTTGTAGTGGAGGCCGGTATGATTGCTTTGAGAAATGGTCAGTCGAGCGTTAAGCATCAAGATTTCGTCGAAGCTATCGGTGAAGTCCAGGCAAGAAAGACCAAATCTGTGTCGTTCTACGCATAAAACAATAATGATTACAGTTTCCATTCATTCATTTTCAACCCCAGTAGAAGATTGGCCCACTAGCACCGGCAAAGGCACATTTACTAACCTCCTTTGTATTCCAGCATACCTGTGTGATGGCCTTAGAATCAATCTTGGTCTTTTTAATGAGCTTACAGGTTTTCCAATCCCAGAAAACACCCAGTCCACTAGAGTCACCGCTTATCAAAGTCTTACCATCAGGTGTGAAATCAATACCAATACCAAACCCAGCACAGTTGTGACCAGTGAATAGCTTCTTCTTGTTCGTTTTATAACGATCCTTTGTACTGAAAACAAGGACAGTGTTGTCCATCGACTGTGCAGCGATGTATTTACCTTCTGGATGGACTCTTGTAAAGGGCATAGAGTGTAGAGTTGGATCAGAAATGAGTTTTATAGGAATGTTGATCTGTAAATCCCAAACCCTCGCTGTTTTATCCTCTGAAGTTGACATGAATCTCTTATTCTCCAAGAATGTTATACTGTTGATCGAACCCAGATGATGGTCATACTTTTGTATTAGCTTATGCTCGTTGATATCGTAGTGTTCAATGTTATGGTTCGAGAGGCCAACAAGGAATTCCATATCGTTGAATGGGTTAAATTTAACAACCGTTGGTACCGAATTCAATTGGAATCTTGCTAGACATTCTCCTGTTTCTGTATCCCATAGTTTCACAAATTTATCATAGCCTGCGCTGAGAAATCTGGTGCCATTGTTGTTGAAGTTGATGTCCTTCACAGGCTTGGTGTGTCCATAATAGCCTCTTAGGCATTCCCTCTTGCGATAAACGGACCATAGGAAGATCTTGTTGTCATTGCCACACGAGAGTAGCAGGTGGTTTGTATTTGGGAAGAACTGGATCCGATTCGTTCCTCGCAGATGACCATCCCATTTATGGATGAGCTTCTTCGGTACAAAGCATTCTCCAGGTGATTCATCGCTTGATAAGTTCACACCAACGTTTGTTGGAACGTGCATATATGTTCTTCCTTGGTAGTCAACTTCACTTGAGCCGAGGAATTCTGTGGTTTCTGGATTTGCGTTTTCTTCTTCGCTATCACTTTGGTATGCTTCTTCGTCTTCCACTTGCGGTTCTTCACCAAGCTCTTCAACATCTTGCACACCATCTTCCTCATCACTCGATGACCTGTACTTAGCCCATGGCCCGCTATATCCATCTAAATCTTCAGCTTTGCCCTTGTCAGATCTCTGCTTCTTAAGTCTCTTTGAATCCTTCTTTCCTGCTCTCAGCTCTGTAATATCTCTCTTCTTATTCCTTTGTGCCTTGTCCACATCACCAACTACTTCATTGACGTTGTGGATACTCCGAGCATAGCCCAGTTGCTCGAAAGTTCTTCTCTGTGTATCAAATGTGGCACTATCTATAGCTTCAGCAACAGCATAGCCGGCGTTGTTTCTGACCAAAACCTGTGGAGCCTCACCAACGACGGCAACATTGGTTTCGTTCCTCGTCAGTTTAGGAGCCAATGGCGCAGGTTCCACCTTAGTGAGTGGTTTCACTGTTGATACAATGTTAGTATCTCCAGTGTCATCATCATCATCAGAAGAGGAATACCCGTTCAAAAGACTCATTATAAACTTCAAATTCCGTCTTCAATTGGTACCAATATGTATAAATCTGTTTGATTTCTAGTGAATGAGTACTAATAGGTGAAGCGATCATGAAAAAAGTTTACAGGCCGCGGGAATATAATAATAATCATAATCATAATAACCATAATAATAATAATAATCATAATAATCATAATCATAATCATAATCATAATAATCATAATTAGAATGATACTTATAAAAATAGCAAACCCCCCTTCAAATTTCCCCAAATTATACCACAATGGAGCTCTTACTCAAAGTAAGAGATATACAAAGTATGATCACGTTACCTTCAATGCTTTCTGAGATATAACTATTCATAGTTTGTATGGTATAATCAAGAAAAACACATAAATTTGTTATATCTCAGTAACAAAACAACAATTGGGAAAACTGACGTGGAAAACAGAAGAAAATATCCATATCATCATATATGCTAGCTTTCAGCTTGATTGGATCAATGGTTGTTTTACAATAAATCACAACGTTTTGCATTACATATGTAATTCTGATTCTTCGTTGCCTCAGCAATCGTAAAAATGTTAGGATGTTTCTAATTTCCGCTGCAATTGTTTACATTTTGAATTCTTATCAACACAAAAATGACACAAAACCAGTACAGCTTTATACACAGAATTAAGAATATCACAGAAGAATGTCCAAGAACAAAAGATCAAGCAAGTACGGAAGAATGATCTGGTAACAACTAAAGAAACTCCAGAGAGCTCTCATTGGAACCTTCTAACGGCGTCCTCAACCTGAAGAAGAAACATCAACGGCTAATCCAGAACCACAGCGGCAAGCTCAAACGAATGGAGGTACGACACAACCAGAAGACCCATTAATCATTGAGACAGACTAACTGACCTGTTATGAGAACAAGATACGGAACCAAGAAACCTTCAAGTTCTGTCAGAGAATACCCATTCAGAGATCACAGATGTACTACAACAGCCGCTGTTACCTGAAGCTGAACTAGATAATGGAACTTTGACGGATAGAATAAGAGATAGGTGAAGAAACGCAGCACAGGTAGCAGAAAGAATGTTATAAGAAATTAGACGTGATGGTGCCTTTGATTATGATCCCAACTTTGAATACATCATTGAAGAAAACACCGACGGTTTTAATGAGAATGATGACCCAGTTTATGAACAACAACAACAGCGGAGACCACGGAGACCGCAGAACTCAGTTTATAATCCAGGTGGCCTTGAAAAGTGTTGCGATTATTGTCATGCTCTCCTTATCGATACTGAATTACCATCTTTTTGTTGTGATAGGGGGAAAGTTTTACTCGGTGAGATATTCAAAGAACCTCCACAGTACATGAAGGATATCTTATTGGATCCAATCACGTCCAAATATTCTCGAACGATCAATACCTTTATTTTGATACCATCGTTGGGCTCTGACAGCGCAGGTGATTTGCGAGGTGGAACTTATTCAATGACTATCAACGGGAGTTTGGTCCATAGAGTTGATTGTATGATAGCGCTAGACATTAAAGTCAATAGCCGACGGGGCCGTGCAGGGCAAGTTGATCGCGAAGGTCCAAATCGCCTTCACCGTAACGAAGCACTACAGATCAACTTGTATATGTATAAATCGATAAATAATACATCCTGGTGAAACGATCTAGTCATACTAACTTTATTTAGATTCGATTACCTTTAAGGACGAAGACTGAGTTGAGATAATGGCAAAGTATCTGTCACACTTACACAAGCCAGTAAATAATAGAATCATGATGTAACAAAAAACATCTTTGGGTTTCATCACAGCCCTTTCAGTGAAGGGTACAGCGATCGAATGTTTGATTTATAGACATCTGGTCCTTTGAACCTTATAGTCGAATACCTTTCTCAGAACTGTCTCTCTACAGATATTAGGATTAACAATTGATTACTTGAGGCAAAACAACGAAGCTTAGTAGCAGTACTCCCCTCACATCTCTCAATGTTGACAAGCTCTCTCTGGTCCTTTGGGAATGCTAAGATTCAATCGTTCCAAGTTTCACAGTTTATCAAATGTGCCCTAAGTAGGTATGTGACATTTATTCTAGTTAAGTACAAACCCTCGGTACATAGTTAAACACCATTAATGTCTTAGAGAGGTCTGAGTGCAATTCGCATGAATTCCGACTAGTGATTACAGTTTTTGAAAAGAAGATCATAATCACATCACGCATCATTGTAAATGCATAACCTCGTTCATTGTGTTATATCTTGTTTATCGACCGAATATTAATGTAGGCAGAACACAGCTGCCCATGAAAGAGGAATACCGGCATTAGGCAAGATTCAGCTGATGTTATGTATCGTGCACTTCCGAAAACCACCTGGATTGCACGTGCAGCATTACATAATTTCCGTATATGCGTGTGCATGCATGAATCAAGTCAATTGTGCACATTAGGCCTACCTGCATACATATTGTAAATATGTTTATTGATGTGCTGGCTACAGGATTTTTAAGAAGGACTACTAATAGCCTGTAGAAATGGGTTCCTTTCTAGACTTCTCAGCCATGTATGTTTCGTAATACAAGATCAGGAATACAAAAAAAAGTGGTACGATTCCTATGTAATGATGACAGGAATGTAGCGAATGACTTGGGAGTCTTCGGAACACGGGCGAAGATTTTTTGTTTTATGATCAAATCTCATAAAACAGAGATGCTTTGTATGGTTATTATTGAACACATAATTACCAGTGAGATCCTTTCACAGTCACACACCGAAGTTTTCGAACTAGATTTTAGACACTTAGGAGTCTGTTATTCACTTTTGAGGGTCAGTGTGAGATCTTTCCAAAGAACATAGCAGAACTTGGACCTCAGGGTATGTTGTCTGACTTTACTTGAGAATGATTATTGATCCTGACAATTGATCATTTTGTTTCAAAAATGTTTTTAGTGAACAACAACTACATCGTAAAGTTATACACTGGAATCCTTTAGTCAGGTTTTAAATGGTTTATTTTACACCGGGGTCATAGCAGTGGACTTATTTCTTTTGTTCGCTACCTTCAATTGATTATTTTTATAAAAATGGCATTGAGACCTTGCTGATACTGTATACAGATCCAAGAACAAAACACACACACACAAACAAAAAGAGAGATGTCGAATATCTGAGCTATAGTAATTGAAAATCAACAGTCGAGCTCATACATGCAGGCGATGTATCCGACGAGTTGTTGGAGAACTCAACAAAAATGAAAGGAATAATGTAATATGGGAAACAGTGACATACTGAAGATTCGTTGATTCTACCAAAGTGATAGACCGTTCAATTGAATCCTTTTATTACATGCAATTGATTAATCAATACAGATCAAGATGAGATCAAAACATATTTCATGTACCTGAATATGTGCTATTCACACTTTATAGAATCATTCCAATTGGTTGGATTTCAAAAGTAGGTTTTAACAGCAGCAAATTTGAAGTAGCAATATGCTACAAATGTCTAGATACCTTAATTAGTATATATGACACGTAATACTCTTCTTGGGTTAGTAGAATGTAAAGTGTATAGATCACAATATAGATAACTGACATATTTCGAACTGGAATTGAGGTTAAAACTCTGGCTTTTAAGTGAAAAATATAATTTTAACAAGAATTGGAAAGCAAAAGCAAAGTTGGGACCATCACAAGCCTTCTGAGATCAGTCATGCCGATGTATTAAATGCTCATATAAATCCAAATTACTGACAGAGTAGTGACCTAATTCATTATCTTATTTTGCCGTTCTTCAATTGTTCTGTGTTCGCAGTCAGTACTTATATATCTCACAATATGTTGAGACTTGCTAATACACTTCCTGAAAAAACCATGGTCCTTTGTTATAACGGCCTTATTGAGCGCTGGTTTACAATCTGAACCAATGAACATGCCACCTATACATGCGTTCTTGTTAGATCCGTACTCCGTAATGTTACTTGTTACTTGTTACTTGTTAGTTGGAATGAAAATCAATGAGAGAAACAAGATAGCACCTCAGAACAAACTAACAATGAGACATTTAAATAGTCTACACTTCCTTCCCTTGTTGCTCATTGTGTTAATAATTTTCAATATCAAACAGACTAAACGTTTAGTTCAAGGTCTGCTATAACATATTGACATTTCTAATGATGGTCTCCTAGAACTCTAACATGTTGCGCTTACTGCTGCCATTATTGATCTGGATACATACAGCAATTACTAATGCTAATATAAACACTATTGAATTTTGTACCATCAGTGTCGAGGCTTTCTCCCTCTCAGCTCTGAGAGACAATATTGAATTAAATAGTGATACAACTTATTTAAGCTTGTGCGACCACCGATTTTAAAGTGGAATTTTGGACTATCGTCCTTATTCATAACCGTAGACTATTAAGGAAGACACCATTACAAAAAATTCTGTCTGCCCTGTGTCATTCAAACAGTACCATATCACGTGGTGATTTCACCCTTTTGGATCAAAAGTCAATGATTACAGTTTAACAGTACAGCACACTCTCTTGAATACAGGCGAATTACATGGTATTGTGAATCTCCAGGAAAGTCAGGAAATCGTCAATTATGCAGTCACTTACCCCTGAATTACTCCATTGAAATCAGCGTCAAACCATTGTAATATGGAATAGGCCTTTTCTCTTGGTAATGGAACATAAATGACTGTCCAATTTCATAAAGAGGTTCTGGTCTTCTACATTGAATATCCGGGATCCATCATTTCCCAAAATGTTGACAGCCTCGTATGGGATGTTTTTAAGTTTGGGCCTTTACAACGATGATTAGACTAAACGTGAACCTGACAATGTTCCAATAACAAAATTTGAGAATTTCAAAACAGATCCCACAAGTACAGGAGAGTGGTACGGAGACTCGCATTTCTTCTAAGTATATCTCTAATGGTGTTTCTGGTAATGTTTTTAAAGGTAAAATTGCTACCTAATGCCATAAAAATCTGAAGACTGTTGTTGTAACTACTGTTACAATTAGTGGAGTCGTTGAGACTGTTACAGTAACAGTTCCGTGTGTCACATCAGTTTACACTGACTCTGAGGGAAACACCAAGACGGAGGTAATTATTGGTATTGTTACGACAGATGAGGTTGGATCTGTTAGTGTCGTATCTGTAACCTCGAATGTGATTCTGACAACTGTTGCCGATTTGGTTGGTGCTGTGTCCACTGCAACTGTCGTTGTTCCTTGTGAGCGTTGTTCCGAGACTTCAGAAACCACAAACGAGGGTGTTGAAGCAATCACAGCAACAACATCTTCTAAGGAGTCTAGTGAGTCTCTTGCGATCTCCACCCGTACTGAAACAGAACGCATCACAAAGACCGAGGCTATCACAGATGTTGAAGCATCAGGTGAATCAGGATCTGTTACTGTTTCAGGGGTTGGGTAGTACTTCAACCTCGACAGAGAAATCACTTGGTAGTGGAGACTCCGTTACGGTGGCTGGTGAGTCATCATCCACCACCTTGGAGGCAGAAACTGAACTGGATTCCATGGATTCCACATTGGATACTCTCACCACTGGTGCCGCTGGCACCACGGCCACTGCTCCGGAAACATCCTACTCGGGCTCTGGTGCTATCATGAGCACTGATGATATTCTGGTGCCATTATTGACATTGTTGGTGTCTCTGATGATCTGATCTGATCCGGTCACCTATTCTTCTTGTTGAGTATTCATAATAGTCGTTCCTATTATGTTTTCTTCAAGCTTTTTCTTTCTCTCCGATTACTGACCATTTGGATTCAAATTGCCTAGTTTACTCGGTACAGTAAGCACAGTGTGATGGCACTTTCGCCAGATATAGGCTTACTAAGGGACTTTTCGTACTTTCGTTGTTGATCGTTTGAAACATAGTGATAACCCTTGATTTGCTATTATAATAGCAACCTCTATCTAATATTCTTATACTAACCACGTATTTCTTACTCCTGCGGGAACTGGTAAATTGTTTAATGTTATTGGAAGATAGCGGATGCTACGACACACACAACCAAAGGTACTGGGAATACAGGCATCAGTGCGAATTAGGAGGAATGGATAAAAATGCAATGGAGCAAAGGGCTAAACAGAGCACAAGCCCCTCATACACAGCTGCTCAAGTAGAAAGCGCTCTAAACTGCTGATCAACATGTATGTTCAATATTCTAGACGTTTCACACACTCAGCTAGGTCGCTGCATGCACCTTGGAATCCATGCACATGCATATCTACCCTCCTGCAGATACAAATTACGCCTTATTCATTAAGGTGCCATAATGCGTTACCGAACTTTAGAAATGCATCAAGATGCAAAGTAATTTCCGAAGATGTCACCTCAATTGAAAAAAAATGGATATTGCACACTGTCAGCAGTGTATACTCGGGACACACGGCTGTAAAACGATCCTAAAGGTCACTGGATAATTTGGATCATTCGCAATACAAAATGCAAAAAATCCAATCAATACGGATAAACGAACTCCACCTCACCAATGGAGTATGTATTGAAAGTTTAAATACGATACAGCTCTTTGTCGTACATTTGTTCGAATCTGGGGGGGGGACGGTGGAAAAGAGTTTACACTGCTCATGAAACAAAAAATGTTAGAGCAGTTGAAAGGCAGAAAGCAGAAGCAAGAAATATCAGCATAACAGTGTCTTTAAGAGGCTTGTAGTTTAATAACAGAGTAGATGTGTAGGGAATACTTTATACACTAATAAATAAATGGTAGAGTATAACACATTGTTGATTAAAGACTAGTATTATAGAGTTGTAAGGCTGTATACTCTACACATTCCTAGTTGTTGATAAGACAACAATTTCTAAAGAACAAACACAACAACATCGGCGCAGTATCACGGCGATAATCCACGTCCGTTTCAAACCTTATTTTTTGTATTTCCTGTGCGCTGTTTAAATTGCTCTAACTTATAAAGGGGCTTTTAATGGTATTCTAAACCCGACCGGTCTCCAGTACTGTGATCTGCATCTCAATATACTTTCATGTTGAATGCAATAATATGCATCAAACTCGCATTGTCCAGTGTTCATTTTTCTGTAGCACTGCAAGTTCGAATTTAAATTTGGAGTTGGGAATGGCTGGCATCAGTAAGAGCTCAAACAAGCCACACATCAAAGAATTGGTGCACAATAAGTAGACGCCAATTAAGAAAATGAAGGCATTTTAACTCAAGCTTAGAGGGGGTAATTGATTGCTAACTTCCTAAATCTAAGTTGGGTGATCCTCTGCATTACATAAAAGGGCAATTCCCATTTTATTTCAAAACTTCCAGTATAAAGAATTTAAGTATTTGAACGAAAACCAAGAAACCTGATTATGAAAGTGGAGACTTTGCCCTCATTCTTAGATTTATGGCAGTCTATATACGACACACCAACAGATGCTAAGATTCCTGGAGGTTATAACCAGAACGTATTGGTTAACTATGGACATGCACGAATTAAACACGATCAATTGGCTGAAGCTCGTGCAATACATATTAAGAGTGATCAAATTTCAAACAACTCTTATGTTTCGGGGCCTCATATTCAGGCCATTGAATCCAATTGCAAGTCAGGCTACGAAGTATTTGGAAACGAAGTATATTCAACGCAGTATAATAGACATCAGCTGGTTCATCAGCCCAAGTCTGGGTCAATCAACTCAGAACCATCCACGGAAATGAAACTGTGCAATGTTCCTCAAAAAACGAAAAAAGAGAACACTCTAAAGCCTATGGAGGTGCAAAGCCCAATTACACAACACGTCAGGATAAAAGATTCAGCCGCTGAACAGTTTTTTGACGGACGTGAATTATCAGCTGTATACAAACAGTTTAGTGACACTGGCACACAACTGTACTCTGTATCTCCAGCACCCTCAAAGGATAATGAGTTGGATTCAAGGCATTATGTGATTGCGGTGCCTTTAATCCCAATGCAATATATTCCAAGACAGCATATATTGCAGAGATCAAGAAATGGATGTATAACTTGTCGTCGAAGAAAGGTAAAATGTGATGAAAGAAGGCCAGGAGGGTGCTTCAATTGTGAGAGAATGAGAATACACTGCGAAGGATATAGACCGTTTATTCCTAAGAAGAGAAAGAAAGGAAAACATTGAGAGGTTCTTTAATATAAAGACCAATCATGACTAGAACTTGGTACTATTTAAGATTTTGTGGAATAAACAAATTTAACCAAAGAACCTACAGAGCTCCTTCGTAAGAGACTTTGTTGAATTCTAACCATTGTTATAACAAGATTCCCTTTATTATGCACTTGTCTGAAGAGAAGACAAAAACACCTGTAATTATGTCTGTAGGGATCCTATCATCCCTCTACCAAGTGATCCAACCCTCTCCCGCTCTCAACAAAAGTCACTGATGCAAGTCATAATTCCTAACAAACTCAGAAAGGGGTTAAGACTCTGGAAACTTGTTTGGATAAAAAGAACCCAAATAATACATGTACCGTCATCTTTTTTCAATTGTGCATATATTTAGAGGCAAGCTCTTTCTAGATATGAGTAACTTGTGATAGTCCCAAAATGCACAACTAAAAATGGAGCGATGCACATATTCAACTTCTTTGCTATTCAACCTGTCATTTAGAAAAGCCATATGACTACTATTATGCTGAATGAAAGTGAGTTTACACAAAATAAGAGTATAATATATCAAAGTCTTCCAGTTTCCTTGTTTGAAATGTGCACCAGAGGCTGGAACCTTTTATCTTCAAAGATCTTTGAGGCTTGATGTGGTGAATGTTAAATGTACGTTCATGCTTATTTCAGTTTCTGGAAATGTTTCGAATTCCATTTTTTTGAATTTGAAGCTCTTAATAGCTATGTGCAGAGTGCAATGTATACTGTGCGTTCAACTTTCAAATTATACATCATGTGCACCTTAGCACAGATCTAGGTGTGCATTTGCTCCCGTTTTATGGGCTCACAGATTACTGACCAACTCGCGGACGTATTTATTCATGAAAAATACCTATATCCAATGTCCTTGAACTCTAAAACATAAAGTTAAATTGTAATTACAACATGATAGACACACTTGTAAATACATACTGTTCAGATGCTGTAATGTGAGCTGAGTAAGTGAGTTCGTGCATTTGAAGATCTTATCCATGCCCCCTGGATTTGGACTTCTGCTGGTTGAGAAAGTATGTTGCTGTTAGGGTTGAATATGAGTGTTCAGAAATTAAGGGCTAGAATTCCCCCTGAGGATTCGAAGGTCAATCGTTCGTTGCTAAGATGGAGAAAATCACAAGCGGTTTATTTTCTTATTAACCGGATCATTGGTACTTCACACGCAAATTAGCCTTTATTAGATGAGTTCTGGGATCGAATCTGAAAACTAACAGAGTAAAAGTCTGCGAATAGTTACACAACATGGTAATAACTCGAGTTCAATTCCCAATGGGCAATTATCAAGATGTTGGTTGGTTTGATGTATGCTGATCAGGCGTTTCAAGTAATATGCTAAGTTACATATCTGTTGAGCGCGTATTTCATATCTCTTTTTTCTTTGTCATGTCTGGTTCTTTGCATGTATCTCGAAGTCAAGATTCCGAATAATGAATGCAGAAATAAAGGGGGGTATGAAGTTGATTGCATATGACATAGTTGTACATTGTGTGTTTTTTGACCTTTGTTAGTGCTACTTTTGAAGTAGATATTTCTGCTCTCAACCTGTTACGGTGTAAACACATTCTGCGACTGAACCATGGTAGCATAACCGGACCTAATTATTTAAGTCATAGTTAGATATATGGGGTGGGGGGGGGCGCTGAGCACGAAAAAAGTCTCTTGTTGCTTTAGATTCTAATATAAAATCAAGAGCAATGATACTCGGAATCGGTTTGTTCAATCGACGCTGCCATACAAGTATCACACCATCCTGTTTTTGAATATATGAAACAATATTAGAGTTCACTGGATGCTTTGCAGAACTGGAATGGGTACACCAAAAAATTGGAAAACTGAAAACTAAGTAGAAGCCGAAAATTTTGACCTATGTATATCCTGCCCACTGATGACGGAACTTTCCGTAGGACACACACCAGCTTCTACAAGTGCCTTCCAGAAGTGGGATACTCTTGAATCTAGTGTCTACGTTTCTGTGTGTCGTTACAATAAATATTCTTCTAAAAAATCAGGAAGACTGCGAAAGGATGTGTTGTATTTACACTTTCTATCCCCCCTTGGATATTATTGGTAGTAAACGTCAAGTATAATCTATAAGAATGTGCATTCATATAATCAGGAATATAATGGGATCGTCTATGGTATTTCGCCAGATGGAGTTATGATCTCAAGGGCTGGGTTTCAGTTTTTGGACTCACAGTGTAAAAGGGAGTTTATGGCTACTCCAGAGACTCCATCACCTAGAAACGCTCTAGCTGTTTTGCATCAAGCAGTTAATACTCCATCCTAGAATCAACATATCAATACCTAGGGGCATAACACTTATGACCAAGCAGATAACTTGATCACTAACGTTCTTAACTAACAGAGAAAAACAACGCACCTCAAAAATATGAAGAATGCGCAAAAGCTGACTATGTAAGAGTATTTTGTGCTTTCATATCCACTTTCTTAAGGGTACCGATTGAACTAAAGTATGGAAACGGTAAAGAGGACGACAGTAATACCAGTTGAGGTGCTCGAAAAGTCAAGATTGGGACAAGAGTGAAAGAATTCATGAAATAATCCATGAAAAAATCTGAACTGTTAAACATACCAGAACAGGTTTCGGAGCGGCATCTGTATCCGCTGGAGACAAGGCTTATGTCCATTTCTGTCAGGACTGCCATTTTTAAGGCCTGTAGTACAACCGTACAGCTCAACTTCTTGATACTGTAGAACCTTGGCTTCCATAAAGGACCTTGTACCACTCTGGAATGAATCAATACATGAGAAGAAACACGATAACTGCCTTTTCTGGTTCAAATGCCTAGCCAGTCCCAAACTCAGATGATGGCCTTTTCAGACTACTAAATAAACTGTTTTCCTGTGATGACGTCGGTAGGAATCATGATATGGTTTTAGAACTACTAATAGAGGGAAAAAAGAAGTACAAGAAGGCTACTTTCGAACCTTTCTACCGGTGGTAATCTGTAATGTTTTGACCTCAGAAACTTTTTTAAACTTTAAAGGATCTGTAATTCCTGTTATGTCCTTTGATTTGAATCCAAGATACCCATATACACTCGGTTTCATGGAATTGATCCATATCGAGCCTGAGACACCCTTGCGTAATAGTATTCCGAAAACCAAGACAAACCACAGATCTTTAATACTTGGAGTATGTTTAATATATTTCCCAACAGGACTAGACAATTACACAATCGATTGATCACATTTTCTAGAAAAGAACAAGATTCACTGCTTTCTGAAGATACAGAATTAGAATGTGTAAATCTACGTAGAAATTGGTGAGATTTTGCTATCTTCATTTTTTTGTCTTATTTAATTCATTGGATGGGAACTTTTGCGGAAAAACTTGTAATTTCCCAAACCTCAAATTACTAAGTGGGCTTTATTTACGCCGAAGAAGAGCTAATCCAAGTCTCTGGCAGTGTTCAGAGGAATAAAACAGTACAAAATACGTAATTAGGTTGAAATCATATCGAAAGCACCAATTGTGCATTGTGGACAGGAGCACAATGCACTTGTGAGTTAAGGTTGTGTGGATGCATCCGGAGGCATTATCAATAAAAGCGATATGCATAGGGATGCAACCCTCATGAAACCAGAAATTGAAGATTTCAGGAATCGAGAAAATGACAGAAAAAAAAACAGATTTTTATGCGAATGATAAGGCACTATATAGAGATTATTTCACCGAGAAATTCAGCTCGGGTTTTTTGTAATCACAATTGGAAAACATTCTTCCATGGGTGTCAATATTTTGATAAAGAAGAACGTCCAAACTGAGAAGTTGACATTAACTGACAATGGGCACATGCTGTGAGATACAAATCGAATATATATCCTAATGTAACATAGGGACAGAAGTGCCGCAAAGATCTGCAAAGAACCTCATGCATTCGTAGCCGCAGACAGCATTAAACTTGTCATGCTTCCGAGATGCTCTTGTAAAAACTACTACCCAGCCCCATTGTTCGCGTTTTTGTTTTTCTTTTGACGCGCACTACCTTAGGAGCGTGTTTGAAGATCCATTTAGCAATATGTTAATGAAAACTACGATGTTTTAAAAAAAGAGGAGTACATGACAATTAAACATTAAATATATTCGTAGGTTAAGTCTGACACAATATGTACAATTAGGAATTCAATAGAGATGTAATATTAGTCATACCACATTCAAGTCTTATGATGTGTAAAACAATTAACACTAACAAAATACAATGATGAATAGTACTCCTAGTGTGTACACGTAAAACCGCAATGATTGCACCAAGTTTGACGAAGGCCGGACGTACTTCTCTTTCGATCGGTTCTCCCTTGTCTGCAAATCTTATTGAAACTAAGGCGACAAATAAAGCTATACCTTTTGCAAGATTCAGGTGCTTCCGGAGTAAAGCAGAATTTCATAATCACCAACGCCTCATTTTGCTGCCGGGCTGACTGCCCTACAGAGGGCGCTGACAACTACTAACCACTAATGTATAAAGATCTTGAACATAATCTTTGTCGAAATGGACAACCATCACAATGCGGTTTAAATGCAGAGTCAAATTGAATACGATGAAAAAGCATAATGTTTGAACACAATCGAATGTTTTTTTATTCCACTTGCACATTTACAGATTGTTACTAAGAAAGGTCTTACCTTATGAGTCTACAAACTCCTAATTTGAAGAGAGTTTAGATTGGATTGCATTACTAGTTTTATTTGTCTCATTGATAGAGTACCCAAAACGTATACCTGAGTTTCCATCTTAGCTATTAATGGTTTTCAGAATATCAATGAATATGGTTACATAAGTGTGAAACTTGAGCCTCAAATGGGACTTAAGATAATCTTCTTCTTGACAGATATCTTGTACCAAAGGATATGATAAGATAATGCTACCAACCAGAGCTTTTGACAAAAAATCTATTGCTTTGATTGTTTGTATTATGTTTTTAGGATCAGCATGGAAATAATAAAAGTATTCTTCTAAGTCCAACATGATAGTTCAAGAATCTATCGGGATTATTGAGGAAGAATATATTTAAGAAACGTAGAAAGGCCTGACAACACAGGAATATGATGCGATATTCAAACTGAAAGAAAGCCCCCAAAATAAGAATGCGAATCAAAGCCTATGAGATTTTTCCAGGTGGCTCAATTTATTTTATTATCACAATACAGGGACCGAGCATCTATCTTATATTCGGTTATGATGTGTTTGTATAATTATGAGTAATATGGAAATCAACGCAGCTGTTCCCAGATGCGTTTATTTGAAACAGGTTTAAGATACAACTACATAGAGTATAACCCATAAATCCCCCCTTTCACCAATGAGTTCATAATATGAATCTTATAAATTCAACTAGATAAGTCCTATTCTATGGAAACTATATGTAAAAATGAATACCGTTTCTATATGTCGAGTACATTAACCAACGGTACACTCCGAGAAATCAACCATCACTGAAGGTTGTCAATCATACGTAACACCATACATAAGATCATTCTCTGCCTCCTGTATCTTTGTAAATTTTGTTTCGTCAACACAGTAAACAGTCATTCATAAGAGGGTCGTCACTGATGATTTTATTGTGCTTCCTATAAATTTCACCCACCCCTACTTCACTATGAATTTAGATCACCACCTCCAACAAACACAAACACAGATAAGACACTACTTTTCTGTTTGGAAAAAACTCGCTAATGAAGAGTATCAAAACATCTTCTTATAGCAGCAATATCTTCTGAAAGGGGGAAGGTCTTCATTTGGTAATGTTATGATCACCCTAAAAGTACAAGTGTAGGCAGACTGAAACAGACATTAACCTGTTCAGTACTGAGGCTGTGGTATTGGCAACCCGTGATACCTTTCAAGCAGTTGAATTAAAATAGTGTTTGGCCATACTATCTGTGCATAGTATCAATGTATTCTGGTTTCCTGTAAACGATATTCGAATGGCTAGAACACTTCGGTCTTAGATATCATGGGGGGGGGGCTTGGTGTGGTCAAGAATGAATGTACCTTCACGCCCGTTCCAGTTTCTAGAAATGTTTCGAATTCCATTTCTTTGAATTTGAAGTTTGGAATAGTTATGTGCATAGTACATTACATACTATGCGGTCAACATTCAAATTACGCATTATGGACACCTAGAACAGATCTTGGAGTGTACTTGCATACCTTTTACGAGCATTTATGTTATTGGCCAATCCGTGAAGTCTTTTGGTAATGAGTATGAGAATAGTCTCTCTAAACCGAACCTGATGTTATCCTATCATTCTCTGGAATATTCCCAGAGGGTGATGAGAAACGAGAAATCCCCAAAGAGTAGTACGTATCATCACATTAATGGCTGGAGCTGGAGTTGGTTTTGAATTTCACATTTTGCAGGAGAATCATTTCATGGCTGGTGATATAAAAAGTTTCACAACTTCTCGTACATCTCTGCATCCGTTTTGAAGACTCCGCATTCCTTTGAAAATGTAGATATGTATCAAATTCAAACTTTACGAGAAGAACGTGCGGTATATTTTCCAATTCTTCTTGGTTCATTTCTCTTTATCACATATTTTTCGTTTTCTCAATATATGCTTTTTCAAAATGCACTCGGTGAGTATTAATACCCTGCAAGCCTTCGTAAACCACATTGTAACTAGACGCTGCATATGAATGTTAGTTGTAAAACATTGAGAGCCATAGAGATTCATGTAAGGCAGACACTATGCTTGGTCTCAGTTAAATCTAGAAAACCTTATAGTGGCTGTGTACTTGTGTAGGTGCAAACCCGCGAGTTTGGAAGTGGAAGGGTCGCAAGTACAGTGATAGGTCTCTTAATTGGCCATAACAGTAAAGTGGTCGAGATTATCTAAACTAATAAATTTAGATGTAGCTATAGATAAAGTCTATAAGATCTATATCTCATCTATGTATCCTTTATTTTGGACTGTTGACCCTCTTTTACCGGTTAGAACCTTTGGAAACCTTCCATTACCTTCAAAGCCACACCTGTGGCCCTTTGCCTAATAATTATATTACTGAAATGAAGGCATATTCGATCTGTTTGGCATGCATATCGTATTTACCGTGTTGTGTAGCCTCTTTACATATAGTCTGCACTGTAACGTGTTGAGAAATTCGAATGTGGATATGTACCATGTTTCCAGAATACCTTTTATTGTTTTACTACTTTGAAGACCTTTTTAAGACCAATGGCCAAGTATTCAATATGTGGGTTTTGGGTTGATCTGTAATTCCAGTAGAATTCTGTCATTAGGTCCTGCTCTTGTTGTGCCAATAGAAACATGCGAAGGTTTCCCTCATTCTCAACACCACTTTTTGAGAAATTCCCAAATAAGATCTTCCCTTGTGAGATTGAGCTCAAGGCGTAAACGGCTGTACCATATTTCTACTCAGACTTTGATCGACGCTTTTCACGTCCTTTACACCCCAGATTTGAATATCTGTGCATCACTGACACAAACAATTGCAAGTGCACAACTCCAGTAGCTGCCATATATGACGGAGTGCATAAGTACCTCCTTTATACATGATAAGGAGGACCTGGAATTGAACTCCTGCGGATATTCTGCACTTTGACGCTGGTCATGTAGAGATAATCTGAACAAAAAGTCAAATTTGATCACAGCTTTTTCATGCGTGAGAATCTTAACATACTCACACATTTCGATTGTTGAGCATACTGGCTAGAATTCCGTACAATATGAATGATATCTTTCGAAGAGTATTTAAGAAGGCAGATATCTTCATATTTCTTCCCAAACCTGAGTGCTTTCTTTGGACTTCAAAACCATCAAACAATCATGAGGCATCTGCGATGTAATATGGTGCTGTTGATGACTATGATCTCAACAGCGCTCGCTGCTACAACCACGGTGTCAACAACCATTATCACTACAACCCAAGCTACTTTAGCTGCAAGTGATACTCTTGTTGTTGAAGATGGCGGGTTTCTAGGTTATTATAATTGTAATGGTCAACTTTTTAATATCTTCAACGGTGAGGTTAATGTTGAAAGCGGTGGTCACATTTCCATTGGTTATACTGGTTCAAACACTGGTATGTCGGTTTACTTCTGAGGTGGACTGACTAATGATGGTGTCATTATGGTAAATGGTGTTAATGAAACTTCTGCTTTGAGTTTTTATATCTATGGTATTGACGATTTCACCAACAGTGGTCTTCTTTATATCCTCAGTACTGGATCCACTGGTGGTATGACCGCAGAAATCATTACAACCGGAGACATTACCAACGATGGTGTTATTGCCCTCTACCAAAATCTCTACCGTACCGGTGGTACATCTTACTTTGGAAATGTGGGAAGCGACGTCACTAATGATGGTACAATTTGTCTAGCATATATGAACTTGCTCGAGAATGCTGAAGTCTCTGGTACTGGTTGTTACAGTGTTGGAAACAATTCTCTTCTCTACTACCAATATCCAAGTTTATATCCATTGTCTACTGGGCAAACTGTTTATCTATCATCGTCTGATTCAAAACTCGTCTTAGGGAGTGGAGGGACGACGAACAGTTTGACTGTTGCAGGGTTTGGTAACGGCAATTGGATTGGATTGAATGGTCTAACAATATCGAGTTGGAGTTATTCTGGTGATACGCTCACACTCATTTCCGGATTATACACATATGAGTTTGTTATTGGTACTGGGTATAATACTTCATTATTCTCAGTCTCTAGTGGATCCCAAAGTACATCAACAAGTGGTGTAGTCGGTCTTGTCAACTATATCACATATAGTGGCACTGTCCCGGATTCTTCCCAACCAAATGTCTGTCAAGACTGTCCTCCAATCGTTACCCAATTTACCGAGTTCGCTACAACGTCGTCATCCAGTTCTTCCACTGACTCAAGCTCATCTGCAACTACAATACCATCAAGTTCCTCCGCATTCTCAGTCAGCTCATCATCGTCTCCTTCTGACACAGCAAGCACCTCTGAAACTCTTCCAAACCCATACACCACTACATTCACCGATGCTAGTGGTACTGCGTCTGGTATTGTCTCCTACTACTCCACTACTGATGCCTCTGGTAACCCAGCTACAGGTGCAACTACCTCACTGTTCCCATTGACCTCTGGTTCCGAGTCTGCTTCCGAGTCTAGTGCTCAGTCTAGTGCTCAGTCCAGTGCTCAGTCCAGTACTGAATCTAGTGCTCAGTCCAGTGCTGCATCTAGCGCCCAGTCTAGTTCCGAGTCTGCTTCCGAGTCTAGTGCTCAGTCCAG